ATATTGGAATCAACTAAATTCATGAAACGGATACGATACTTTATCTTGGACTTGGACACACTCAACAACAGTCGGAAATGTTCAAAATTCTGTGAACAGTGTGATCTTATGATCGTGTACCATCTTGCCGGTCGTGTTTTACTCAAATATCGGGATACCCTGACGAAGTTATGTCTCTTCTCTTGCTGTTTACGAGTAACTGTGACTTCATACGGCTTTGGATGGCAATACTTCCTTCGTGTCTTTATACTCCCAATATGCAGAATAAAAATAATATATAGGCACCATTAATCTTTTCACACCTTGTTTAGTAGAATTGAGCCTACCGATCTCTGTACTATTTCCAAAACCATTAGATTAAGCCAGTCCCAAATCAATGAAGCTTCATGCTTTCGGTGTTTGTAAACCGTTTTCATATATCAGCTTCCTTTACATATCTTATAAATATAACTTTAAACTTATCAAACTACCATGCCAACAATGTAAGCGATTTATGCTTATTTATTTTAGCTATAATTATCAAATAACTGTTTATTATGTTTAATTATTCTTATTTATTATTTATAAGATCCGCTTGAAGATACGTCAATGATACAAATGCAAATTTAATTTATGCCATAGTATTCTTCGTTAGGGAAAATAAATTCAGAAATAAAAGTCATTTTTCAATTCGTTTCCATTTCAACCTTCCTTTTATGATTGATGACTTAAATTCTAACTTTTTTTGTAACTATCTGGGAAATTAATATTCGTAGTAGCCAGAGATAATTAGAAGATTTATATTAAGCAATAAACAAATGTGTTTAATTTATTAAGAATAGGATCATGATATCTTATACGCATTAAAAATAAATAAAGACTTTGGCGTGTGCAGTTATTTTTTTAGGAGAAGGAGAGATTTAGGTTGAATCATGAAGATCCTGGTGATGAAAAGATAAATCTTTATTTTCATTCCGATTTATTTTATCGATTAATGTGTAATTAACATCGGTTTATCTGGTTGCCGGGCAATGAGTGATTTGCGCTCGTGTTAGTCCGCTTTGGCCACACCGCCTCCAAAACTTTAATTACTTTATACTTTAAGAGAAAACTCTTGCCTAATTTAAATTATCTCATCAGGGATGAGGAGAGACAGATCCCCTCAAGAATCATAATGAGAAAAGGGATGTGTGACCAATGTTATTTAAAGCAAAGGATAAGGCTTGTTTTGTAATCGGATTAACAAATCGACGAGTTTGAATGCGTAATAAGATATTGGCATTGAGTTCGAATGCAGAATGGCTTTTGCATATTATAATTGCATATCTATTGGTAATATTACTATCATGGACTACTAGCCCCTATAATTCAAATTAGCCCAGGAGAAGGTAATAAGAACATCACAGCAAAATGAAGGGATCCACGTCGGAATGAATCATAAAATAGGGGTGATATAGCTGTCCTTGGAAGTAGTTAAGAAGAAATTGAGAAACTCGCTAAGACTCTGATAAACAAGTAAATGAAAACAAAACATAATATATGATAATAAGCCGAAAATTCTACCCAAATAACATATAAATGCGTAGAAGGAAATTCAAATCCCGAGAGTAGAAAAAGCCAAATACCTCGGCTCAACAATAACCTCAATGAATGACCAACGAACAGAAATAGACCAGCTTATAAGTAGAAATATAATAATCTGTCACGTGGACAATAATTACAGTGATATATTAACACATTTACACCATATATACAAAAAATATAAAATTAAAATAATAACTATGTACAATGAAAAATAAAATAACCTAAAGATAAGTAAAGTAAAAACATGAAAATACAGTCATACCTATATACAATATATACAATCAGGCAGGGAACCCCAAACCAGGCTTCTCCCTCCAACTATATAAGCAAAAACAGGACTGTAAGAGATCCCTGCGCTACTCTCTTGACCGTGTTTATTTAATCGCTGTTAAACTTATTTACATTTAATCGAGTGAATGTGTGAATATCACCGTAATTATTGTCCACTTGACAGATTATTATATTTCTAAATAAATATATATAACTCATCAAAAAATCTTAATTCAAGGCGTCTTCTTTTTTAATGTGACTTGTAAAGTTGAGAATGTATGATACTGTTTTTACAGAGAAGAAATATAACAACATTTCATGGCTGCTCAACTGTGTTGAGTTGCTAAATAACACAGCATACTCATCAACCAATGGATAATACCGTAAAAAATAATACAAGAGAGAGGTAAGTCGGACCTTTGGAAAACATATCAAATGTGCCAACAATGGTTTGTAGAATAAAATAAGCAAAGGTCATGATCAATATATGTTGTGATGGAGGATTCCCAATGAGTCTAAAATAATTGTTTCTGTCATAGTCTGCATCCATTTCCAACGCCGAGGCTCTACAAGAAATTGCTTGTACTAAGAGGATGGTTCTTCTGCTTCAGAACCACAGCCCTTTAACTGAGAATTCCCTCTCGTCGAATTGATCTCTGTACTTTTCCTTCAGGTAAGGAATGCATTTCGTATAAATTTCCTCTTTCTCTGCATGTACCTTGAAGTCCTGATTCTGATCGTTGGTTTCAAATCTGATCGTGGGATCCAATATGAGTGCCTCCTTTTCCGTAGCATTGAATACCAAGATGGCAATGAATCTTGTTCAGTCTTCTTTATCCAGGCAATAAATTTCGAGGAAACATTTATAGTTCTTCTTTTCAAGGAATTCGGCTACAGAATCCTTTATATTATTGTGCCGGCGGATGACTAGGTGCATGTGATGCGGACAAGTGCTTAGTAAGTAAATACTCCAACCATGGTTTGGTTGTTAATTGCGTCTTTTAAGAGTTTGAAAAGTTTAGTTGAAACACAACAGAGAACTTATTTTTAAAGCTATATTACTATGTTTTATCCTACGTTTAGTTCCATTTTTGCATTAAGTGCAATTATAGAGGCTGTCAGACGAGTCACGGAGAGCATAATGATACTCGTTAAAACGGTCTTGGTTTTAGTAAGGAATGTAGCATCCGAGGAACCGAATATTCTTCCAACGTTTATTTACTAAATAACATTCTTTTTTTTAAATATGTTACGATTAGTTTAGATATTGATTACCCGAAAAAAAAAAAAAGAAAGAAATGCTGCAAGCATCAATCACAAAAGACATGAGCGATGAACGTTGTAGATATGAATTTTTATTAGATTCATACAATTATTTTTTTTAGGAATATATACAACTTGATAAATAGATGCAAAATGAATCACCGAATCAATTAGATTTATTTGAGTTATATCCTACATTATGGAATATAATAATAAATATTCCACATAAGTATTTTTCATTTAAAATATTTTATCTTTAAACAATTTACATTCATGGTATTTTAAATATTGTACTTGAAAATCAGTGGTATCATAAGTATATAATTGCAATTCACTGGATTTATGTGGTACTGGGACCCGAGATAGCACATCATACTCAGCATACGTAACAGAAGTTGAAAAAAAAAACTAAGGTGTATGCATTAGATCACACGATAGAAGTGAAAACATCAAGAATGCGCACTAGAGGATCCAGGATTTGATTTTGGGGGCTTCAATCCGAAAGCTTTTTTTCTCATATACGTATATATATATATATACATATATATATATATATATATATATATATATATATATATATACATAAAACGACAGTTAATTTTAAAAAAAAAGAATTTAATTACCTATATGAAATGGTGTTTAAGTGGTTCTTGAAGTCCTATTAAATATAATTACACAAACAAAAATATATTAAGAGATAGTTTTTAATATTTTTTTTCTTTAAAATATGGTTGGTAAAATCTAGGGGAGTAAGATCTACGGGGGAAAAGGGAGCTTTCGGGCTGAAGCCCCCTCCCCTCCCCGTAGATTCGCCTGTAACAAGGCGAGATTATTAATATGAAATAAAAATTATAAATAATAGCACATTATAAAGAGAATGAAATGCTGAACCATTCCCTCGCATACTTATTTATTTATTTTTACCCTACCTTACCTTACGGCAATACGGGTTTTGGTGAGTTTAGCGTAATAAATAAATAAATTTTTCCCTCGCTTGCAATATCCACGTTCGATTTTTAGGTTTTGAGATATTTTAATCCATATGCAAAAGCACCCAATCCTCTTATTAAGGATAAGAAAACTAAAATAATAGAAGGAATATATTTTTTAATAAAGAAAGGTTCTTTTTTCTGTATAATTCGATAACTGACAAACAATTTAGTTTCACAGAAAGTAATTCTGAAATACACGTGTCATTTATAAACAAACCTGTGTTAAAACTAATAAGTTTATGTTATTATTAGAAGTTGAAATGTAAAAAGAAAAAATTACAAAAAAATGTGAACAATGAAAAAATTCATTTATTGTAAAATACCAAAAAAGGTATTCATTTTACACATTCACGCCTGAATATTTGATAAATTTATATTTAATATTACATACTTTTTAGCGCAAATTTCAATGTTTCTTGTTGCATATAGACATTACTCATAACAATGTAGAAGTTTATTTAAAACGGAAATATTTTTGTGAATGTGATTTTTTGTTTTAGGAAAATTTCGAGAAATAGAGCAATGATGTATTGTTGAGCTATACGTTGTCAAATGAAAAAAAAAGATACTTCCTAAAACATGGTTTCCTGTTACCTGAAAACTGTCATTAGCGAAGTCAATCACGCCCTCTTTGTTTCTATAATTATACTCTATAAGACCTTGGTTCCAGAATTGTGATTTTTCTGCTGGAAGCCCAACGCGGAGCCAGCCAAACATAAGGAGTACTATCTTTTTCAGGGATAAAAGAACTCCTGTAGTTGTATTTACTATGATACAAATAGTAAGAAGTAAATTACATTATGGCTAATTGATATTAAAAATAATAATTATAAACTAATTTTATATAAGATTTCGGATGTTTTCACTTCGAGTAATATGAATTCATCAAACAAATACATACAATCATATTCATATGATTTGAAGGTCAAGTAATAAACTAGATAATTAAGTTGTATCTATTATGTTCTTTTTTAAAACTACAAATCTAACCAGAAGAGCTTGAGGAATGGAATGCAATACTCTACTTTGAATTATAGCGGACACGTTTGAGTGTAATTACGTTTCACCTAACCCAGTAAGGAGATTAATTACAGCCATATTGATATATTTAAGAACACTATCTTAAGAAATAATAGGTTGTTATAAAAGTCTTTGTGCCTGAATTCATTGCTGACATTCCAGTCTCCAATTTAATGCTTATTTCAGACTGATGTATACATGTATAGTTGTTTATTTTGACAAAACATTAATTAAATTATGTATCAAATGTCTTTGCCCTTCATTCCGTTTTGTAAATTTTACCAAATATGTCGTAGGAAAACATTGACATCCGTGGTCTGTGGTACTACTGGGAAAAAAGGACAGTGTGAAAGCAGCAGCTGTGGAAGGTAAAAATGTGGTTCAGTCTATTAAATTCTGGACACAACAATCTTCAAGAGCTGGCTTTGTGTTTGGTAGAGATATGTTGTTTTTTTTGGTGGTGTTTCGCACTTCGAGCTGGCTTAAAATAGCAGAGCTATTGAAACTGAATTTTACTATCAAAAACTGAAATGCGTAAAAGAACTTTTAAAAGAGGATTGCCCTGCTTAAGTAAATCGGAATAAAACGAAATTTTAGCACAACAATGCTCCCCCATTGCTTATGCCTTAACACAAGAAAGGTTTCCAGAAATGGAAGGTGTTAGCAGAGGTGTCTATCCCCTCTCTTCTTCAGCAGGGGTGTCCCACACTCTCCTCCCCAAATCTTGTCTACTCTCCTCTTCTTAAAAATGGTGTAAGTTTAAGTAAAATCATAAAAATTTTAGTTTATTTACAATTACACTTGATCTTTCAAGTTTGTTTTTTCTTGTTCCCTGTTTCCCTTTAAAGAATCTTAAATCTGTAAAATTGCTTCCCTCAAAAATTTTGATGGCTTAACTTCTGTTATGCTATTCTTATGCCAATTAGCCAACCCCCAATCAGCCCTGGCACTTAACTTTTTTGAAAGACTGGCACTTTGAAAACAAGGAGGATGTCAAATCGAGATGTGTTTAGCGTTCAGAAAAAATGATGCTTTAAAGAGATTAAAATGATAGCCTATTTTTTGTAGAATAGTTTCAGTGTGAATATTTTATACTGAAATGCAAATAAAATTTATTTTATGCTCAAAGACTTTTGTAACTACCTAGTATAAGGAGAAGTAAACAGAGAAAAAAAATTATGTTTTAGTTAAGTATTAAACTTTTCAAAGTTGGATTGAAGTTAAAATAGTTACAAAAAATATATTTGGAAATTAAAAAATATATGTGTGATTGCAAAGAAATACATTTGGAAATTAAAATATTGATCTGTGTTTCTTCCTCTATTATATTTTAATTGTTAATTTTTAGAATAGTCATTTTTCTCATAAGATCTGCAAATACAAGTATCATTCCAAAATTTAAACTAAAATTTTAATATATGTATATAATAGCTCCAAGTGTGCCCATACTGCTGATTGGTCTGAACCAGTGTTGTCACCTTTATTGGTGTATTTATTTATGCTTTAAAAATTAGTTACATTAATAAAATACATATCACATTTATTCTATCTTTTTTATTAGCAGTTTCCACCAATAGTGGGTTTCCTTAACCTAAAGTGCTTAGATGGCTTCTTTCCATAATTTCCTATCTAAGGTCCATTCTTCCTGTAGACCATGACCCACCATGGATTCCTCCACTTCCTTATCCCAGGTCTTCTTCCAGTGGACTTCTTTGGGTAGTCTTCCTTCAGGCATTCTTTTCAACTGTTCATACAACTTCAGGCGTTTTATCTTAATCTCTTCCAGAATGGTTCTTTTAGCATCTATCTTTTCTCTGATGGCCGTATTTCTGACTTTATCCTTTATGGATATTCCCACTGTTCGTCTCCAGTAGTCCATTTCAGTGGCTAGAAGTTTCTTCCTCAGGTTGCTTTTTATGGTCCAAGTTTCTGATCCATATGTCATAATGCTCAGTACTATATTACTCAGTAGATTTTTTTTTGTTTTGGAGATAATGTTCCGGTTCCATATCACATTTATGTTCAATACCATAATCACACGGTTCAATATCACATTTATACATTAAATAAAATAATTTTCCACAAAACTTTCCTTCCTATACTTTCTTCTATTATATCTTTCTTCATTCAACACAACTATACCTATATTACCTTATTGTCTTTCCATCACTTCTTTAGTTACATCCTTGCTTAAAATTTCTGCTATCTGATCCTCTGTCTCTTTGTAAATTTTGACTTCTCCCTTCTCAACTACATCTCTGACAAAGTGGAACTCTCTGTTTGTATAGCCTGTTCCTTTTCCTTATTCACCAATTTTCATCAATGCCTCCATCTATCTATGGTAATCTTGCTTTTTCTTTTGTTTCTTCTTCTTGTTGAATGTTAACTTTTTTGCTGGCTCTCCCGTTACCACTACCTTTTCCGTTACTTCATTCTCTCCTTCCCTTCATCTTCCGATTCATATTTTTCTGCAGACTCATATTTCATTTGAACTTTAGCAATCATTGCCTTTTTAGTATTGGTGGCGTTCTTTTCAATTTTCTTTTTTTTTTTAGGAGCTTTATTATTTATTTTTAAACTATTCACCTTTCCTGCAATGGATTTTACATTTGAATCCTTCTTTTTATCCTGGTGGCCCCTCTTTATCTTTGGATTTGGCACATTTGTTACTTTTAGAACTAATGCTTTAGATTATAGTTCTTTATTTTCAGAAGGATCATTTCCACCTTCAATCTTTATTTGGAATACAATTCTTGCATTATCTAACTATGTTTCGACTAAATCGGGAAATGGTTCTGGTGGCAGATCCTTCTCTTCATTTCCTTTGTCTTCCTCTTCAGAAAACATAATGTTATCTTTCTGTTCATTTTTTAAATTTCTTATCAGTTTCTGTAAGTTCATTATCACTATCTTTGTTAATATGTTCTGCTACCTTAGGCTTTTTCTTGATTCTTTGCTTGTTTTTTGTCTGGATTGACGTCTTTGTAACCACTTTTATCTGGTTTAGGGATATCTAAATCATTACTACCATCATCACCACACCAATCTTGACCTTTTCCTTTTTCCTTCTTTTGTTTCTTTGTTGGTTTTTTGACAGGCTTAGATTCTTGTTCCTCTTTTTCCGTCTCATTAACATCTGTAGGTTCATTATCATCACTAAAGCCATCATTCTTGCTCTTGGCTTACCTTTTTGCTAAGTTTGTTTCATTATTTTTGTATAGTATTTCTTCTCAATGAGCAGACATTTGTAGCACTGGAATAAAATTTTGATCCTTTTATTGTTGATACCACTATATTTGCAGTAGTGGAGAACCTCATTTCCACTCCACTTTGGCTCCTTTCTGAAAAAAAAATATTTTGTTACCCGTTTCTAGTGTCTTGGGCACAGAGAGAAAATTATCCCCAAGCTTAGGAACAACCATAACATCCTGAACATTAAAGTTGTTTCCAACCCCTTGGCCACAAGGTTTCACCCTTATATTTCTATGCATGATGATGAGTCCATCTTTTCCTACCGAAATTTTCAATGTTTCTTTGATTCCTTCCTCAATCAATAACTGGTCCAGGACAATGGAACATAGTTCAAATTCTTGGGCTAATGACACTTTATTTCACCTTTGGAATGTTTTTGTATACAGGTAGTCCATTTCTACACGATTCAGCATTTTTATCTTTGTTAAGTCAGAAATCCTTTAAGTGTACTGGTTTCTTGCGTATGTAATATTCTTTAAGGCTAAAGGTCATATGTTGATGGCATGCTTTGAATACTTGGTCAATTTTATTTGTTACAATTCTCCATTCAAATGACAGTAAAATTTGTTTCAATTTGCTAAATTTAATGTTTGTATTGGTTAAGATTTGATTTATTATAGATTCATAAGAGTAGGTTGTAATTATATATCTTGTTAATTTATCATTCTCTGTCAATTCCTTTTCCAGTTAAGCTATCTCTTGAGCTAAGCATTGAAATTTATTAAGAAACTCATCCAGAGACTCTAAGTTTTTCTTTTTTATGTTATTAAGTTCAAACATAAGGTATATTACCCTCTCCCCAAGCATACCTCCAAACCTCTCATTCTATTTTCCACATACCTTTTTCACCTTTTTCTCTTTAATTTAAAGAACTGTTGATAGAACTACTATCAGCCAATATGATGAGAATCATTGAACCATGGTTTGTATAAACTTTTTTCTAAATCTTTAGGTCTACTCTTGTCTCTTTAAATATTTCCCTTAAGTTACGGGACACTTTATATATACAGTAAAAATAACTACAATAAATTATTACAATGTTTTAATTGTGTTTTTTTTCTGTTATTTAGAGTGTATTACGATACATTAATTATGAAAGTACACTTTTTAATCATAAAAAAAAATATTTAAAAACTGATATTTCTAAAATTTATTATCTAAAGTGATAATGAACCAGTATTTTTTCAAAGATTTCTTTTATGGACCTTAGTTGATAAGTTACCAACTAAATTTTCCCAATCCTAATATTTATGTTTGCATGAAAATATTTTGAACAATTGTAGCATTTCATTTTTTTTTTTTAGAAATTTTAATTTATAAAAATAAACTGTTACATTAAATTGGTGTTGATCCCCACTATATTTTGTACTGTGAGAATTTTCATTTTCCCAATCATGGAAGGTTTTTATGTAATATTTATCCCATACTTTGTAAATAATGCTTCAGAAAAAATATTCTTCTATGAGAATTGGGTTTCATTCCTCAAACTTTCAAATGTTTCAATATTGCTTCAGAATGCAGCTTTCATTATCAATAGGACATCAATGCCAATTTAAAGTAAATCCTATATATTAAAAATGTTTTTACAAAAATGGGATATTTGCAGTTCTGTTGTGGGAAAAGGTGGTTAAACAAAAAATTGCGGCTAGTCCATAATCAGAACTTAGCATACTACAGTCTAAAAGTCTCCTTTAAATGGTTTTAACAAACACAAACTCGTATTTAAACAATATTTTGTCTAATATACTATGAGGCAATTGTGAATTACCCAGACTGTATATCTTTAGGTCTACTATCATACTTATAAATATTTCCATTTACTTATGGACAACTTTCATATATATATATTTGAAAATATGCTTAAATAACTAATTTCCAAGATAAGTATGTATTTAATAACAAATTTCTATTTCAGGTGAAAAATGGGTTTTGGCTGGAGTAAAAATAATAAAAATATTTTACAAGATGAAGAAGGAAGGTAAAAATTACTTAATACTTTTCACCATTTATCTTTTCTTTATATATAACTAATTGGCTGTTCTTGTCTAGACCATTTGGAAAAGAAGCGGAGTTCACAATAAATGGAAAGACGCAATCAGGTACTATTGTTATCCTCTTCTAATCTTTATTTGACCTTATAATAATTCTGGCCTTAGGTTAAATTAAAACTGGCCTTGAAGTTCTGTACATAGTTTCAGGACAAGATATACTACCGACCATGCCCTTAGTTAACTTTATCCGAGAAAGGACAAACTTGATGGGGACGAAGTTCATGTGCAGGGAAGGAGTATGTGGAGCGTGTATCGTTTCTGTAACATCAATTCATCCAGCCACTGGAAAGCCAAACACATTTGCCGTGAATTCTGTTGGTGAAAATTCTGATTATTTAAGTTTAAAGTTAATTTAGTTTATTTGTCAAATTGTTATAATAAATCAAATTATTATGTTTTATTTCAAAATAATTATATTTTAGAATGACACATAAATAAATTCCTGTTCCTCTGTGGATTTATTTTCTATTTTATGAATAATATGAGGGAAGTAGAATGATAATAGAATAACCCAGTTTTGTTTTTATTGTTTATGAAAGTGAATTTTTTATAAATGTACCATAATTATATACAGGGTGGGAGAAAATGCCAATAATTGAGGAAGAGATATCCGAATTTTTATAGTGTAACTGAACATTCATCAACTTTTGTCTCCAATTTGGGAATCTAGGATGAATTTCACATAAGATAATCAATCTATAAAAAAATATTGCTTTGTCCGACTACCAAAGTTATCAAAAGAAAGTAAATATAAATAATTTTCAGAAATACACATTAGAATTTCACGGAATAAATTTTCAAATTAAAGCCTTGAAAATAAAAACAAAAAGTTGCTTAATTTAATTTAATAAATAAATTGTATTTATTTTTGTTTTTGTCGATGTTTCAGGCCATCATTAGTGCTTTTCTCATGAAAGGTGCCATAAGCCCAAGTATCATAAGATGTTATAACAGCTTTCGTGAGAACAGTCTTGATAAAAGTCTGAAACTTGGGCAGAAATGTTAGCAAAAAAAAAAATAAATATAACTTATTTATTTTTACTTTACTCTATGTTTGACTGAACAAACCAACCAACTTCTCTTCAATATATCTATGACAGTCAATCATTAATCCACTACTAAACATTATTCATTAACCAGTTTAGGCAATTAATAATTCTAATACGGATCCTTTCATTCCAGTCAATGGTAACTTTATCAGTGGTTCTCTCTTTTTTTCTCAGCTGTATATGCTAATGAAAAAAACTAATTTCTACAGTCTACATATATACTTCTATAATAGGAGATCTATAATAGGCGAAGTCTATTATCGTCTTATTATAAAAAAAAATTAGCCTATCACAATTCCTGGATTTTAATGTATATGGAAAATCCTATAAACTACTATACTGTCTTCTTATTGATGGATTTTATCAACAAAGATTAAACAAGTGTAGAATAATTTGTATGTAAATTTTAATATAAGGTGTTTAATAACTTATAGAATATTAATTTAAGAAGTGAATTACTTAATTGAAAATTTTCGTTACATAAACAAATTTTCAGTGCCTTATACCAGTATTAGCCTGTCATGGTTGGTCCATTTCAACTGTGGAAGATCTAGGATCACGGACATTAGGCTATCACAAGATTATTAAAAGATTAGCTGCAGCCAATGGATCACAATGCGGCTACTGCAGTCCAGGGATGGTCATGAATATGTATAGGTTGAGTTTAACATTATCTTATCGTTATTATACAACTTAAAATTTATTATCGAAAATCAATAATAAACTTATGACAAAAACTTATAATGCAAAATTTATTTATTTTTATTTTTCAGTCTTTTAGAAAAAAATCCTAAAATGACAATGAAGGATGTTGAAAATTCTTTTGGTGGAAATATCTGTCGATGTACTGGCTATCGACCAATCTTGGATGCATTTAAATCATTTACATCTGATTGTTCAGCTTCACTGCAAACTAAATTAGCAGACATGGAAGTAAACAATGTTTTCATAATATTTATGATGGCTACTGGGTCAATCCATTGAAATAACTCAGAGCATGTTGCTTGACATTTTTTTTGTTTTTACAATTGGTTTAACCAATTATTCTCCATTCTTTGATGAGTTCAAAACTGCAAGTAAAATAAAATTAATGGCTTTTCAACTTTAAATATGTTTTGAGAAAATTTCATTAACTCTGGTAGTTTTACAGATATCAAGACAAAATAATAAAAAAATTATAATGTTCTGGTCTACACATTTTTTGTCTTAGAATACATCACCAAAGGAGTGAGAAAAGTGGTTAAACATAAAATGAGACTTTTAGTGCTTTAAAAGTGTATTAATGAAAAGAGTTTTTTTCTCCCCTGTTTACTCCTATCACTGTGCTGTGCTTCTTGTGGGAAAAATTTCAATCTTGAAAACTTTTTATTTATTTTTTTAAATATGAGTTTTAAAAAAAGAGCTGTAAATCATTTTCAGGACTGAATAAAAAATAGATACATATAGAATAAAATATATATAGCTTATACTTCCATATCATCTGAACATATGACACAAATTTAATAATTGATGTTTGACTGGTTCTATTGGTTTAAAAAAAACAAATATTTCTATCTAACGAGTGTCGACCTCAGCATATCCTTCCATTTTGCATATCATCAATTTTGCAGATTTTAAAACTAAAATTATGATAATGATTTACTCTATATTTTTCTGCATTCACAACACATTATCTAATTTGTGAAGAAAGTAGTCAAAAGAATTCACTACCATAAACTGAAAAGTGGCATTAAACAAGACTTTTAACGCTTCAAAAGTCTATTAATGGAAAGAGACGCACATTTGATTTTTTTCTTGTATACTCCTTTCACTAATCTCCTTAATGAAAAAATTTCAATCTTGAAAACTTTGTCCTTTTTTAAATATGAATTTTCAAATAGGCCAAGTCGTTTTCAGCTATTTTTGAAGTACATTATCACAAAAGGAATTGAGGGAAAAATTATGAAATTAGTTGTATTAGCTTAAATCCAATAAATATTGTTGCCTATTGAGGATCGGTCTCAGCATATCCTTTCTACTATAACTCGTAGCTATCAGTCTAATCAGAATAAAGTTTCAAAATAAACCAGTCCCATAGAGCAAGAGAAACAATCATTGAAATTTCCTACAAATTTGTGCAATACATTCCTTATATATAAGGGTATAAACTGTAAATATAAGGAGTGTACAAGAAAAAAAATTGAGGGTGTGACTAAGAGTCTCATGTTATGTCAATTTTCATGAATTTTTAAAATCATTTGCCTTACTTTTTTAGTGATTAATTGTTTAGACAAAAATATAGAGCATGTCGCTATCATAATTTTAATTTTGGTTTGATATCTATTAAATTACCAGTGTAAAACAAATTTTTCTAAAAACATGTTTTCAGTTGAAAATCAAATCCAAAATTTAGTCACAATCAAAAAGTGTGGGACTTTATAATTTTTTATCCATAGTTTTGAGCTTGCTATAGAATGGGAAATAAGTGTAGAATTACAACTAAACAATATTTTTTAAAATAAAAAATGTTGAGAAACAATATTAATTAATATTAGATGATTTAAAATTGATAGACCATAGGTGAGGAACCACGGCCATGGAGGCTGCATTTGGCCTCTAACGTTTTTATGCGATACTTATTAACCTATTGCTAGAATTAATTAATATTTAATTATTTAAGTAATGACTATTTGAAAATAAATAGAATAAAGTTGAATGTGTTTGTGTGGGTGTGTGTATTTAGTGTAACAGTAAAACATAAAGAATTATTAGCACTGCCTCCATTAGTATTGCCTAACCTAACTGCCGTCTCTAATGATAAAAAAGTTCCTAGCCTATTGGATAGACCCTCCTTAAAAAATATAATATCCCACACTTTTTTAATTTTCAAAGGATCTTATGGATGAATCCAAGTATTGCTCTAAAGAAAAATATCATGCTAACAAAAGAACACCAAAACCTTATGTTAATCGCTTGCAGTTCGACCTTAAAGAAGGAGGTACTTTCTGGTTCAGACCTGATCAATTAAAAGAGGTTTTCCAAATACTAGACATGATTGGTATTAAACACTATAGATTCATTTCTGGCAACACTGGACAAGGTATTCAATATTTATTACTATATATCTTATAGTTACTTGAAGAATAAATTTGTATTAGTTTTTTGTATGATGAATATAGCATATATAGCAAAATTCACTTAATCTTATATTTTAATTATATAATAATTACATAAAAATTCACTTCACTTTATATTAATTTACAATATACAAACTGAACCTAATTATTACCTGATTAACGATTGTAATTAAATTGTAACTATATCAAAATTTACTTAATTTTATATTGCTTTATTTTTTTTATGGAACAGGTATTTACCATATACGCATTGAACCAGAGGTATACATTGACTTAAATGCAGTACCAGAGCTTCATGCAGTGAGTACTACTCCAGAGGGCATCTCAATGGGAGCCAGTGTCAACCTGACCGAAGCCATGGAATTCTTTTACAAAATGGCTTATGAACAACCAGCAAAGTTTGAATATTTAAAGGCTCTGGCGGATCATTTTGATATGATTGCCAATATACCAGTTAGAAATGTAAGTGTTCTGGTATATAGAAAGTACAAACTTCTTAAACAATGTATTCCTGATTAATTTAGACCAAATAGAGAAAAAATGATTTACTAATACTCATCCAACTTGAAAATAAGCATTTTAATTCAAAGACATAGTGATTATACTTCCCCTTTACAATAGTTATTGTTAGAACAATCAATAAATAATTTATACACTGTAACATGTCTCTTAAATTTTACAAATAATAATAATATAACCTCGGAAGATCACTTTATACTATTGGGATACTACCTAAATAAATAAGAGATTATTAAATAATAAACAAAATTATAAGAGTATTAATATATTAAATTGAAATTTATAATTATTTTATCTTAAGGTATGGTTTACTGACAATCAGATCAAATCACTCAGACAAACTAACATTAGCTATACTAAACACGGTTTGATTTTAAAATAAAGTCAAGTATGAATTGAAAAGCTAACATTTTTTCTATATATATATATATATATATATATATACTGTTTCTTCTTTTGTTGCACTAAATTCATTTGTCTTCTAATATTTTCCTATGTTCTGTCAAACACATCTTCCAAAATGGTGACACTTTCTTCTACTCAACTAAGTTTCCTGGGTGATCCTCTCTGTTGTAATTCCAAACAACAAGTCTGCCAAATGGTACAACAACTTCCAAGATGGTAATACTATTACTGGTTTTTTTCCCACTGGAGTCAGGATCACTTCTCCTATCCTCTCTTCACTGCAATCACACTACTGCTTGCTAAAACAAAACCCTTTGTCCCTCTCCTCTTTGGGATTTTCCTTCTTGGGAAACTACAGAGCAGCCATTATCTTTTCCCTGCACTAGTAAAACTAGATTAGCTGGCCTTTTAATTGTTCAACATTAATTTATTAAAACCTTTTAACTCACTTCCAATAAAGGTGTACATGCCTATACATTTTTAACAAAACAATTAAGTCAATGCCTTTATTTCTTGACAGTATGGATTATTTCACTGTAAGTCTCAATATTTTATTCATTGTCTAATCTATTTTTGTTATTTATTTTGAGTACATTACATCTAATTGTACACTTGAGATAGTTATATACTTCTATCTAATTTCTTAATTTAATTTTATTTTGGACCTTTTCTTTCATTGCTTATATCCATCTTGAAAATTTCCATTTAACAGCCTCACTCACACTCATTCTTAAGAAATCATTCCTTTTCATTGTTTGTATTGCTTGTGAAAATATTTAATTATTAGCTACTTTTCCATTCTTCTGTTCAGCATGTTATATCATTCATTATTTTAATAAATAATTTATTCAATCCTCCCCATACTTTTATTACACTTATTAATTATTCAAGAGGAAGGAAATGGTCCGGGGTGGCGGTCATAAAGAGACTAAAATAGTGGAAAAACTATTTTATTTTAAGCCAACGTTTTGACCTGACTTTGCAGGTCTTCTCCAGAAAGATGCGTTCAGAATGGAGTTTCAGTTAAAACTCAGTTTTAACTACTAACTTCATTTTTAACTGAAACTCCTTTCTGAACACACCTCTCTGAAGAAGACCTGCAAAGTTGGGTCAAAATGTTGGCTTGTAATAAAGTAGTTTTTTCCACTATTTTAGTCTTTTTATGTCCGCCACCCCGAACCATCTCCTTCCTCTAAAATATACAATGGTAAACCATTAAGTATTCAGTATTAATTATTCAAGTTTGTTATTACATTTATTATTTATCACTCATTATTTTGTTAGTTATTAATTTTTCAGTACCATAGTTTTTAACTATTACCAGTTTTCTTATTTATTATAATAATATTATTACTTTCTTATAACACCTTATCAGTTCTTACTTGGTCAGTATATTGGTTTATCATATTAATAATAATAATAATAATAATAATAAGGCTTAGCGAACCCGAAGGTTCGATGCCGACACCACCAATCGCTTGTTACACACCTCCCTCCACCGTTCGCCGTCCAAACCCAGTCCCTTCAGATCGGCTTTAATGCAATCTTCCCACCTTCGCTTCGGTCTACCCCTCGGACGCTTACCATTCGGCACAGCAAATATTAACCTTTTAGGAATTCTCTCGTTACTAAGCCCAACAACTTTACAAGCCCATTTGATTCGCCGCGATGAAATCACCTCAATTATATTACCCGGATACAGCTCACGCAATTCGGCGTTGTGTAACCGTCTGAACTCTCCGGTTAACTCATCCTTCTTCGGTCCGAATATTCTACGCAATACTTTATTTTCAAAAACCCTAAGACGCTGCTCATCCCTTAATGTAAGCGGCCAAGTTTCGCATCCATAAAGAACTGTAGGCAAGATAATTGTTTTATAGATTCTAATTTTTAAGTTTCGGGACAAGAGGCGCGAACTAAGTAGTTTTGTCATAGAAAAATAACAAGCATTCCCCGCCTTCAGTCTAACCTTAATCTCTTCTTCAATTTTGTTTTTTCTAGTTATCGTAGAACCTAGATACCTAAATTTATCTACCTGTTCAAACATATTACCATCTATATCGATATCACCAGTAGTATCGCCATTTTTGCTGCTAACCATATATTTTGTTTTATCCACATTTATTTCGAGTCCTATTTCTTTACCGGCTTTCATTAACATTGTCGTATTTAGTTTTATAGTTTCAACTTCTTCGCTTAACAGTACCAGATCATCAGCATAGCCCAGCACGGATGTTGTCCCGCCCAGGTCCAACCCTTTCTCGGTTCGCATTACCTCCCTAATGGCATGTTCTAATGCCAAATTGAACAGAACAGGCGAAAGAGAATCCCCCTGTTTTAAGCCCGAACGAACCTCAAATTTTTCGGACAAATTATTACCGATTCGAACTTTATTGAGTGTCTCCGTCAAGCACATCCTGACTAGATTTACTAGTTTTTTTGGAATCCCCTGCTCGATTAGAATATTATACAGTTTCTGGCGGTCAATAGAATCGTAAGCCTTTTTAAAATCTATATACAGCTGGTGAACAATACCGTTATACTCCAGTTTTTTCTCTAATATTTGCCGTAAAGAAAATATTTGATCAATAGTTGAACGATTCCGTCTAAATCCGCATTGGTAGTCTCCGATAATTTCCTCGGCGTATTCCGTGATTCGACTGGTTAAGATTAAAGTGAATATTTTATAACATACCGGAAGGAGTGAAATTCCTCGATAGTTATTACAATCCGTCCTCGGACCCTTTTTGTGAATCGGAATAAGAATAGATTCTTTCCATTCTTCAGGTAATTTCTCGTTTACCCAGATCTTTTTAACCAACCGATGTATTTTAGAAACTCCAGCTTCCCCGCATGCCTTAATTAGTTCAGTAGGAATATTATCGGTTCCCGCTGCTTTATAAGATTTTAATTTTCCGATAGCTACTTCAACTTCCTCTTTACTTGGTTTGGGGTTTATCATATTACTATATTAATTTTTTTTATTGATTATTATATTACATATTATTGTTTTTCCACCTTTAACCTCTGTTATTTTCAAATGTTGTTCATTCATATTTATGTTAGCTATTCCATATATGTTTTTTATTCCTACAATAGTTTCGCCTTTTTGGAATCTTTTTTTTAAAATTCTGATGAAGACCTACTGTGTGGGTCGAAATGTTGCATTGATTAAGTAGCTAACATTTATTTAATTTATAAATAAATAATTTATTTTATTCAGTTATTTTTTCTAACTGAATTTCAGACTGTCTCCTTCTTGATTTATTATACAGTCAATCATCAACACATTTAACAATATTTTTATTTGGATACATCAGTTTTTTATATTCAGGTTTGATTATTGCTATTGATTTGTGATTATTGATTATAGCCCTGGAGTTTTTCTAGACATTAGTCAAGCCTTTGATAAAGTTTGGCATGAAGGATTGCTCTCCAAGCTTAAAATTTCACTTCCTCCGACCTACTATCTAATATTACGTTCAAAATTATCTTTAACTAATAAACTAACCCTTTATAAAGTCTTGCTTAAATCTATTTGGACTTACGGCATAGAACTGTGGGGCTCTGCTAAAACTTCCAACATTAAAAAAGTTCAGTCCTTTCAGTCAAAAGTGTTGCGAAGAATAGTTGATGCACCGTTTTATGTCGCAAATGATACACTACATAAAGATTTAAATGTACCTACAATTTTAGATACTGTAAAAGAGATTTACAATAACTTTCACCAAAGACTGACGTACAACACGAATCCCCTGACAGAAATCTTTCATCGTACAAGAAACCCGTACAGCCCACTACGACGATTATGTAGGCATTGGCCAAGAGACCTGCTGATCTTATTTATATCCCGGACTTGATGGGAAGCTGTGAAGCTGCCAAAAAATTTGCTTATTGCAAAGAAATTTGCAGATTGCAAATTTAATCCAATGTTCCACATTTTTGTTTGGTTAATAATAAAGGTTTGATTAAAGATTTTCTCACTTTTATCTTCGAACTTGGCTAACTATGTTGTGTCTCCATTTGTCTTATTCTTCATATCAATGTCAAACAAACTTGCTTACAACAAAAGTTGTGCTAAATTATAGAAAAACTTGTTGTTATTTAGAACTTCTTAGAGCATAAAACAACGCTTAATAAAAAAAAAAAAGTTGTAGTTAATTATAGAAAAAAAATGTATTAAATTATAGAACACTTATAAAAATTTAAAAAAAAATTATATATTTAAATAATTTTTATTTACACAAATATAATGATATCCAATAATAAGAAAAATATTATTATTTTAATTAAACATTTTTACATTAAATTCTTATTATAATATTATTTTACTCAACAAAATAATCTTTTGTAGACTGGAACCTTAGGAGGAAATTTATACATGAAGCATAGTAATCATGATTTTTCATCTGATATATTCATTCTTCTGGAAATGGTCAATGCTGAGCTTGTAATAGGTTTGTTAGTATATATTTACTCAAAAGGGTATACATTGTTATTTTTATAATTTATTAGTGCAGAATAATTTGTTTTTTGTTCTTAATTTTTAAGCTGATTTTTATGGAGAAAAAATAACTGTTGGACTACTAGATTTCCTCAAAACAGATATGAATAGAAAAATAATTATTACAATATTACTTCCGAATTTGGATAACAGGACATATTACGTTCGTACATTCAAGGTATGTTTACTAACAGATTATCGTTTTATTAGTAGAAGATTGAGGAGATCAATTTTATAGACTTCGAGGCTTGATTATAGATAATGCCTAGAGCTCAAAGTGCCCATAATTATGTAAATGCTGGTTTCATGTGTAAGATGGATAAGAAAAGTTATAATATTCTTGAGAAACCCAATCTCGTATTTGGTGGAATTAAACCAGATTTTGTGAGTATGATATCTTAATCTTAAATTTATTTGACAATTTTTCTGAAAACTGTTTTCAGTTTAAATAACTCAAAAAATGAATGTTTGAACATTTCTTTTTATAATTAAGCAGAGGATTTAATTTGGAGCTGATTATATTTATGACTCAATATGGATTAAATATTGTAAAATTATTTCTATTTATTTTTGTTTAATGTGAAAATTTCAAAATGTTAAAAGGTTAACATGATAAAAGGTTTGCGCTAAATGTACCTCACCATTTCTTTATTTGTTCTTTTCTACACTGATAACATTTTGTCTTATACTTCCACTCTCAAGCCAACTGTAAAAATTGAAATAATGAGCATTGTTATTTTAATCAGAAATTTATTGTGTTTCTCACTCTAATATTAACCCAATTCAGCCTTGAAGCAAAAATTCTATTTTCATTACAGCATATCAAGCCAAGGTCATGTATTAACATGATATAAAATCACCTTGTCCATAAATAATACAATTATTGCAGAAAAAAACATTAATGTAATTTGGAAGAGCTTCTCTATGAGTGATATTATATTTGATTAATTTTTCAACCTATTAATTCCTTAAACTTGGAAAACTATAAAATAAAATAACCATGGTTGATTAATAATATAAATGAGAGTAAGATAAAAGTGTGATCAAACACTCTTTAGCTCCTGACTGTATTCCATCTTTAATATGCTTATTGGCAAAAAATGGTTCTTCTCTAATGCCTTCCTAACATAGGAAAAAAAAATGTTTTGAAACATTAAGTAAAGGTCATATTTTTTTGTTTTAATGTATACACTTACATTAAGAGATAATATGTTTTATTATGTTTCTATTGTAGATACATGCCAAGAATACTGAAGAGTATCTGACAGGTAAGAGTTTATTTAGTACTGTTTATCTATTATATTTCAGTAAATAGCATGTTAAGTAATAAATTTGTTGTAATGGTGATTGGTCAAATCGTTAATTTCTAAAAATGATTCAGAATTTTGCACTCCAAAAATCTTGTGGTTAGTTTTCACTAATTGTTTACATCATGTACTACCTTTTGTTTAACTTATTCTTAATTTTAAACTCACCTGGTATGTTCAGTTTATTTATCTAGCATATTCATGTTAATACCTTAGATTCATTTTTGATTCATCATTTTTTATAATGATCCCAAATGTATAAACATATTACAATGACCAGTTTTCTTTTATGTTTACCAGGGGAATTTTATTTAAAGTATGTAATAATATCCTGCAGGTAAAACGCTGATTGATCCAAATGTTCTGAAAGAAGCACTGAATATCCTAGAGTTAGAACTGGAGCCAGATCATATCTTGCCTGATGCAAGTCCTGAGTATCGAAAAGGTCTAGCCCTCTCTTTGTTCTATAAGGTCAGATAGTGTATTAATCTAATTTAGGGGATTTTTTTTGTTTATTTTGGAGATTAATACTTCCATTATTTTCTGTCTTCTAAATGTTGCAGTTTGTGTTGTCTGTGGCACCAGATAAAGTAAAAAAAGATTACCAAAGTGGTGGTCCACTATTGGAGAGACCTGTTAGTCAGTCTAAACAAACTTTTGACACTGAATCTTCTGTATGGCCCCTAAGCAGACCCGTTCCAAAAATAGAATCTATCATACAGTGTTCAGGTGAGTTACGCTGCTGGTTTTAGGACACATAAAATAAACTACAATGTCCTTCTCATTTTCTTATTTATATAATTACATTGAAAAGAATTTTCACTGAATTAGATAAAATGCACTAAGTTACGGAAAGAAGAATTGATGGTATAATTATTTAGAGCACCAAATATGCAAGGCTAACAATGGTAAGTCTTATGTTGACAAGATCTGCTTGATGTTGATGTTCATATCTATCAGCCTCAGGTTAATCACCTGAAAAATATTAATGCATCTGTAGTTATTTTATTTTGTTTGATTTCTACTGCTTAAGAAAATAAAGAAAGTCTAACAAAAAAAATATATTATTTATCTTTTATAGCTCATGAAAGATCTAGATTTTAAAATTAACAATTTATATTGAAATATATTTGAAGTTATAACATGAGCCTTTCAGTTGACAAAATGACTAACTCCAATTTCAACATTTTAGAATTATATCATTTTAATGATATTTCTAGTAGGAAAATTTATAATATCTCTACAGACAGTGAGTAAGTTGATTCCAGAGTAGATGATTGCTGTGTTGAAATATAACAACAAAAAAAAACCTGTAGCACTACAACCCATGAAGGGTCTTGGGTTCAGTACTATTTAGGAAAAGTAATGTTTCAAGGCCAACGGTTGTGCAGAGAGGGGATCTGGCCAGGATCACACTCAACTGCCAGGTTTTCCCCAAGGTCAGTAAAACTACCAGGTTCGCTCACTCAGATGGAAAATGGTGGGGAGGAATTGAGCTCTGACGTAGCCAAAAGACTGAATTTACCCCTCCGGCCGTTGTTTCTGAACATTTTAAGATTATTATTTACTTTTCTACATTAAATCAATACTGTATTGCCAAATAACTTATTAATTTATTAATTTTAATAAATTTGAAAGGTGAGAGAAAGGTTTATATGATATTTGGTTTATTCTGAAACAAATAAAATGTAATTTAACAAGTTGATGTATGATTTTTTGCAAAGTACCAAAATACTACTTTTTAAATATTTCAAATAAATACAGAGCATAATATAAAATAATAAAAATATTGAAAAAAAAGAAAAAGTATTTAATCTAACATTAAAGAAGCATTATCTTTCCAAAAATTTTTGTAAATATTACATTTTTATGTCATAAGTAATCCTATGTAGTGATTTTTCTAAAGTTTTTTGGCTTTGATTTTATGTTTTCTTAATTGTTGTAAAAATCATTGGGTATTTAAAAATTTGATTCTCTAAAATACCCAAGAAAGGCTTTCTTCATTAATTTCCGCATTTTGTTTTCTAAGAAAAAGATAGTAAATTTTTTTACAATATTTGTTTTTTTGCAATATTTTTCATTTACATTTTAAAATCCAATCTTTTTTACGAGCATCCTTTGGAAAAGTATGAAATGAAATTTTCTTTTCCATCTTCTTGGTGTCAATTAGATTATTGTTGTAAGATACAATTGCGCATTTTATACGTCTCATTCTATAGGATTCTATTAATAATTCTATTATTATGAGAAATACAAGAAATACTAATAAGAACAAACGAATTCTCTGTAACATGTTATTAAAAATAAAAAATAAATACTCGTAATATAATATTATTTTAGACGGATAAGTAGTTGACTGTTAAGATTTAAGATTATTAGGTGAAAATAAATTATCAGGATTTGCAGTAAAATTTGTTTATTTTTTTAATTAAATTTATTTATTTAAAGAAATTTTGACTGCAAATCCTGACAAAGATCTTCACCGTTATAATATTATTATAATATTGTTATAATATTAAAAGAAATACCCACGAGATCTACAAACAAAATTACACAAACATTGTGCTAAAATGTTATCTAAATAAATATAAATCTTAGTTTTTTCTATTTATGTAATATATTTATATATTATTTACAGAGATTTTGAAAAAAAAGAATTTATAAATAATCTTAATATCAATTTCGTTCTTTTCATTTCAAGCCTGACCTGTAATTTGCACAGCATTTCATTCTAGATTGATAGCAGTATTTATTTATTTATCTACTTGTTCTATTTATTTACCTAATCTATTTATTTATCTTCAATCAAACATCAAAAATACAGAAAAGTATTCTTCTCAATAAATTAAACGAGAAAACAAAAAAAAAAAAGCACAATAATGTTGAAATAAGCCAATATATTCATTGATATGTTTGAAAGAGTAACAGGTAGATCTGACAGTCTATTCCTTATGTCACGTTTCAAGTTCCCCCACCACGCATTTCTGAGTGAGTGAACCTGGTAGTTTTATTGACCTTGGGTTTTCTCCCTTAATCAATTATTTAATTAAGGTTACCCACTTTGTAGAAGCTGGGTATGCCCCAGGAGGATCTCGGTACCCCAGTGTCGTCCCTCGGTCAATGGAACAGAATAAATAATTTTTCGGCCATGAGCCGGGATTCTTGAGCAATGGAAACTTAGTGCCCTACCACCGAGCTACCCTTCTTCCCAAGAAATATATTTATTTTTATACTTATGTATATGGTACTGTGAATAAAGGTATTAAGTTTCCCTACTAGAAATATCACTAAAATTAATAATAAAAAATGTTGAAATTGGAGTTAGTCATTCTCTCAACTGAAAGGCTCATATAAAGATTTATAAATTGTTTGAAACTAAAAAAAACAAAACCCTTTTATACAGGAGAAGCTCGGTATGCTAACGACTTGCCGAACATCCCTGGACAACTCTGGGCACAGTTGATTTTGGCTGACAGAGGTGGGGCAGTTATCATTAAAGTAGACACAGAAGAAGCATTAGTTAGTACCATTTTTAGTATTAATTATCTTATAATATTTGTTCATTAAGACTTGACTAGTATAATAAATAGAATAGATAATTATAATTAATTTTCTCTTCTCTTGTTTAAAAGTCAAATGACTACAGATTTTGATTGTTTTAAGTGACATATATTAAAACTGTTGGTACTCAGTGGGTGCAGAATTTTATGCTCTACAACTTTGTTTCAATCAGCTTTTTCTCTTAGAGAACTCATTTCCAAGTTACTGGGCCACTTTTATACTAGTTATAAAATTATTTATATTAGCTACAGTCTCAGTTTTGACAAATTTGGTAAAATTCAGTGTTGGTTGACTGTGATTATTCACCATACTACTTAACCAAATTATTAACTTTAGTTACTCGTTTGACACACAATTTAACATTCGTAAAAAGTCTAATTTTTACTTTGATGCACCGTTTAGGAGTTATAGGTGAAAAAAAATGTGATTTTTTTGGACTTTGGTTGCTTACATTATAAATTTTTGTTTTTACATGTTTGAACCTATATACACAAGTTAAAAAAATTACAACTTTTTCCACATTTTTCGCAATGTATTTTCTGTTTCAATCTTCAAGTTACTGTCTAATATTCTTTAAATTAGCCGCTATTTTTTAAAGCATTGGCTCTAGAATGGCAGACAAGGTTTATTTTACTTAAAATAACATACATTTTTGTAATTTACCTTCAAACCTTCGCCTGTGGACAGATCAATTTTTAGGCCCTGGTACCAGGACTATCTCATTTTAATTGTTTAGAGATTCTCAAGTATATTTTATTAGAGATTTCACTAGTTTTCTGCCAAGGTATATGACTTGTCCACTCTAGGTTTATGACATACAATATTTTAAAAAAATTATACTGCGACATCTCAAAACAAAGTAATTTGGGTCAATCATTAAATAAAAAATTAAGCTTTTCTAACAATATTTATAAACACCATACAATTTTTCTATCATAATAAATAATTAAAAATTTTTTTTTTTTAGAAAATAGAAGGAGTTGTCGCTTTTTACAAAGCTGAAGATATTCCAGGAGTAAATGATTACTATCCAGCTACTATGATATTAGTAAAAGATGATAGAGAATTGGTAATATTTATGAATTTAAATAATAAATTCTTTATTTAGAATTCAGTAATATAGAAACCACTAACTTATTCATTCACTCATTCGAACCAAACTAACTTTTCGATCTCATCTTCCACTACAAAGAACTAACTTCTAACTGAATCAGACAGTAATAACACCGTTAACTGAATTATATCTATATACTAAACTCGCAACTGAACTTTCCTGTTAGAAGAACTTACAAATTAGAAAGTCTCTTAGCCACTGCCTTAAAAGTCTAGGGAGTGGGATGTAAGGGTTCGTCGTGGAATTAAGTTTTTGGGGTAATGAGTTCATTTCGTATGTCAGTCTCTGGTGGAAGTTTTTATAGTAATATGTTGCAGTATCTGAAACCGTATGGATGTCTAAGTCCTTGTGTGATAAGTCATTTGTCACGCAGAAAGGTGCATCTGCAATCTTTTACAAAATTTTTGATTGAAAAGTTTGAATTTTGTGGGTAACAGACTTTTTTTGCAGCGCCCCATAGCTCTATCATGTAACCCATAAAGGTTTTATACTTAACTTGTAGATAGTAGGTTTATTAGTTAAGGATGATTTGGAGCGTCTGTCAAGTAGCCTGGATAACAGTCCAAATCGTTTGTTCAGTTGTTTTCTTTTCAGTTTCGTAGGGATTCTCCATGTCAGTCTCTTGCCCATGTAAAGTCCCAAATAACAAACTTATTCTGAATCAGGAATAGAAACATTATTGAAGAAAACCTATGGAGATGTACCATGATTTAGTATACAAATAAATAAAAAAATTTTCGTTTCATTCATCTTTCATCAGGTTTCTACATAGTGGCCCAATTAAAAATATCATCAAGATGGTCCTGTATGAAAAGATATGTAATAATTGGGTTTTTGTGAGCTGTAAGTATCGCAGGATCATTGGCAAATAATGCCAGTAAAGTCTGGTCATGTTCTGGTAAATCTGTTGTGAAATGATCTCAGCCTAGGATATGGTGCAAGTTCCTTATAACAACACGTGCAGGACACTCCTCAGGCAATTGGTAAATGTGATATCCTGCTTTTCTTTCTTTTAGATATTTAGTAATTTTTTGATATGCATCGGAATCACATGTAGACACTGAAACATTTTTGATTCTGGCTTTGATTGAAAACTCATTTCCTACATCTTTTACCGATTCTTCACAAAAACAATTTAAATTTAGTAATTGATTTAATATAAATTGGAGGTGGTTCATATAAGCCAGTGAATAAGAAGCAAAGTAAAAACTTTCATATTTGTATAACATTAGGCCTTTTCAAGTTAAATTTTAAGATTTTCAGACAAATTTTAAATTATTTTGTTATGCATAAGATATTTGCGGAAGGAAGGGCCAATTATGCTGGAGAACCAATCGGCGTTATCATCGCTGAATCTGAGGATTTAGCTATGAAGGCTGCAAGTAAGATCAAAATTGAGTATCTTTACCAACGAAAAGTTAACATAGACCTACGTCAAATTATTAAGGGGCCTGACAAAAAAAGAACAGTAGAATTCCCGAAGCCACTAGAACCTAAAAGACGTGGAAGTAAGCATGTGTAATAACATAATGGTAAAATAATACTTTACATAATATTAGAAATCAAAATATAAAATATATTCATTGAGTAAAAAAAAAATATATATATATATATATAACGAAAGAGAAATATATAAATTTGTATATATTATTTATATATATTATTATTAGGTCAAATATTGGGCTAAAATAAAAAATGTCAGTTTCTCAGTAAAATTTATTAACAAAATTATGAACCTTGTTTTGTTGTTACAATGCCTTCTTTAATATGTAATATTAGGTCTGTTTGACCAAGCTTCAGCTGCATGTGCAGTTTAGGTTTTCCATTCTAGGCTCATGCAGTGTAGAAGATTTGGAAAGAGAAAGCAAGCTATATTGGGCATGCTGCTGACAGTTTGCTGGTAGCCAAGTTATTAATATTATAGGCATTGTTGGCAACACTGTCACCTCTGCAGTGTTGTCAGCTTCAGGTTTCTCCCAAAGATTTTTAGTATGTTTTGGGGAGAAAGTTCGTAAGCTTTTTTTTTTTTTTTTTTTAATATTCACTGCTAAATTTCATCAAAACTTTTATCTGATTAGAATCTAAAAATTTGTGCAATTAAAAAAATGTTTTTTAGTATGTCTTTCTCACAATTTCTATTGGGTACATAGTTACTTATATTTCAAGGTCAGTAATTTGTTATTTGAGAACAAAATTTACTGTTTTATGTTATTATTATAACTTCATATGCTACAGTCTATCCACGGGTGATAGAAATGAAAATGAATTATCGAGCTGAAGAAATAACATAAATATATTTCAAAAGTATCGTAATTGGATAGCAATCTTAAATTATTAATAGATTGTAATCATTGAAAGTGTAGTTATTCTTTTTTGCTGGTCTTAATGTTCTTTTGTTCTACTACTACGGTAGGAAAGGTGGATAGTCCTATTGAGTACCAAACTATTTTAAATTAAGCGCCAAGATTAAGATTAATTCCCTTGAACAAGTTATAACAAGGCTACTAATAAACTGTATGAATTAAAATCCGGAAGCATTGGGAACCTCAGATAACCGCCAAGGGAAGATATTTTTTTCTAATTTATTAGTGATTCCTTTTATTTGTTAATTAACACAGTTTTTAATTTGGTAACATACTCCTTTTTCATTAAGCCCTTTGCTCACGAAGGGAAGATAAAATCGGAGAGAGAGAGATTCGATCTGTGTGCCTTATGCGATATGTTCTCTGATCACGAAGTGATTTTTTTTCACATGCTGATTGTAGTCTTCAATAAAGAAGACACAAAAGTTTCATCTTCAACCATTTTTAAAATGAGAAGTTCAATAGATGAGGAAAAGTTGTTATGATTTTATTTGTACCCATGGATGAAAAGAAGGAATCGCACAATATGAGTGTATCTGTACTCAGAACAGAACTTTTATTGTCAGCTGTTCATTGGAAATAATTTAAATTTGAAATAATTTAATTTTAAAAGTACTAACAAATATTTTAATTAGAAAATAAAACATATTTTTTATAAACAAACGATTAAAATTGAAAGAATTTATACTTAAATAATATGAATATTCCTCACAGCTCACTGGTTTCAAGTGGCAGCTCGATTTATCTTGCTTCAAGTTTGTCTTCCCTTGTCGGGCAATCACATAGGAATTACCTAGGAAGTTGAGTGGAGGGGGGATCAGTTCAAGTTTGAGTCTCTCTCACTTCGAGTCTATCTAGCCTTGTGAGCAGAGGGCCTAAGTAATCTCAATTTAGTTTTTCTTTTCTAAACAAATGTGATGCATTTTCTTAATAGCATTATTCATAGTATAACTTGTTTTTGCAGCTGAAATTAGTCATGAAATCAAAGATACTTGGGAAATGAAATCCCAATATCATTATGCATTGGAGTCCCTCACTTGTGTTGCCATTCCAAAAGAAAATGAGTTGGATTTGTACCCGGCGACTCAATGGCCAGCAGCTCTTCTTGAAGTCATCAGCAATGTTCTAAAATTGCCTCAAAGCAAGTAAGAAAAATGTTTTTTTTTATTTCCCAGTATTGATATTTTCAAACATTTTTCTTTTAGTGACTTCTTGCCAGGATCACCGTCATTATAATAGCTCTGATGTTTTAATTTTGGAGAGAACCGTAATATTTATCAGTACTGACTTGAATGTGGATATTTTTTATGATTCTTCTGGTTTATTAATTTTCATTCTGAGCAATTTAAAAATCTTTCTTTCATCTTCATTCACATCTTTTCTCTTAGACTAATGGACCACTTTTTTGAGATTTAACTCTTAAGTTAAGGTCAATCCAGAATGATCTTTGGAATTTGACATTACCATCTGCCATTGTGCTTTGAAATGATAGCCTATTAGCCCATATCTCAGTCATTTATAAATTGGTTTAATAAATTTATTAATTAAAATTAATTTAACTATTCCCTTTCTCTCAAAGTTAAATAATTAACTATTATATAATAATTTATATGCCTGAATTCCTCACCCATCTTGACAGCTCTGCAAAACAGGTGGTAATTTTAAAACGAGGTAATGGTCATCTTATGTGCCTTGTGAATGGAGAAAAGCCGATGTTATCCCCATCATTAAGAAGGGAAAACCTACTGATTATGTGGAAAATGGTACAGACATACATTGACTAGTGTCTTTTGCAAGCTACTTGAAAAGATGGTACTGAAGAGATTACGAACTCACATGGAAAAGCATAGGCTCATTTCACACAAACAAGCAGGATTTAGACGAAATCAAAGCACCGTAGAAGAAGTAATACAGCTGTCACAGAACATGAAAGATGGATATCACAGCAAACAAAGTTCACTTGCAGTTTTTTTAGACTTCCAAACTGCATTTGATAGGGTTTGGAGGAAGAAACTTCCCAAAAATTTATCACAAAAAGATATACAAGGCAATTTGTTTAAATATATTGCATCTTACTTAGGCCAAAGATTTACTCGTGTCATCTATAGATAAGGAACATCCAAATATAGGCAGACAAAACAGGGCCTCTCCCAAGGCTCGGTCCTTAGCCCACCTCTATTCTGCATAATGATAGATAACCTCATACAGACTCATAAGTCTATACCAGGAATCAAAGTACTTATGTATGCTGACAACCTTGTACTCTGGGCAACGAGCAGTCATATAGAAGCATTAGAAATTTGCTTAAATAAACACTTGATAAACTTCAAAAATGGGCTGATGAGAACGAGATGTGTGTTAATACTTTGAAAACCGAATTTCAGCTCTTCTCCCTCTCGACCAAGGAACATAATATAACTTTAAAATATGCACAAGAACAACTAAAACAAACAAATTCAGCAACATACTTTGGAGTAGTACTAGACAACAGGTTGAGTAGGGCAAAGCATACAGACCATCTGGCAGAGAAAGGTGAAAAACCTCTTGGCCTAATTAAGAGGATCACTGGTATGAATTGGGGAGCAAACCAAGACATTCTGACGGTGGCATATAAAAGTTACGTGAGACCTGGTCTTGAAAAAGGAAGTGAGTTACTCATAACAGCACAAGAGTCTAACTCTCTAAAAATTGAAAAAGGGCAAAACAAAGCCCTCCGAATTATTACTGGTGCCTCAAAATCAACACCTATCACAGCAATTTGCATTTTCATTCTATTCTACTAGACAACGTGTATGTCAAACGAATCCATCAAGGTACGAAATGAGATCGCTGCGCTAACAATGAGTGAGAAACTGATGCGTTTGGAAATTGATTACTGGAAGGAGAAGCAATGGGCTTCATTACTGGAAGAGTACCAGTGGATCTCTCTAGAAGTGAGGCCATTGCACAGTTCAGGATGAAATGACATCCGGACATGACTATCTCCAAAGCCATCTATACCGTATTAGAGTTGTCGAATCAGCAAAATGTCCACTGTGTCGACAAGGATTCATGACTGCTCTGTATCTACTTACTTGTTCGGGACTACAGGACATTAGAAACAAAGCCAGGGCAGAAGGTGAAATTTACTGGACTGCTAGACGTCGCATGGCCAAAAGAGCTCAAGATGATCAAGATATAAGATAAAAAAAATTTACATAATTTTTATTTTTTTAATCAAATTTAGAATTAATACTGTATATAGATAAAGCTATTTATGTATGTATCAGTTAAAATAAAATTTTGAAGAGGAGGGTCAGAAAAAAAATGTTAATCAATATTTAAATTGTTTTATTTTTAATGCCAAGGGTTAATCATCTATTTCATTTTGTTTCAGCATCAATATTTATGTAAGGCACCTAGGAGGAGGTAATGGTATGAAAATTATTAAATCCTTCCATGCAGCAGCCGTAACAGCATTAGCTGCACATCTTTCAAATAGACCAGTCCGTTTGGTAGTCCAAATGCATAATAGTATGGATTTCATTGGCAAACGATTCCCAATTGCTAATGACTATGATGTATGTAATAAAAGAATTAATTTTTTATATATGAATCATCTCTTGAAAAATTCTAACTTAAATTATTGGCCTTTTTTTTTTTTTTTTTTTATAATCGTCAAGGTTGGAGTTGATGATAATGGAACCATTCAATACCTAAAATCTGAGATCTATCAGGACACAGGATATGTAGACAATGACTCGGTCCTGTCCTTCACCATTGAACATGTAAAGAATTGCTATGACAGTTCGGCCTGGGGTATTAAATGTTTTTCAGTTAAAACAGACACTGCTAGCAATACATATTGTAGAAGCCCTGGTAATTTTAGTTTTAATTATTTGATTTTTAGTCATATTATTAAAAATCATGTAAGCATAATTAAAGATATTTTTTAGAAAATCCTTTTCTGAGATATTTTTAGGTAATTCAAATCTCATATTTCATGACTTTAGTTAATTGAAGAATAATTAAACTTAATTCTTAAAAGCCAAAAAATATTAATATGAAAAATAATTAAATAAGTGCATACAGAAGCATAATAAAAAATAAACTTTATTATGGATCTAAGTCCCTTATGAACTAACAATGTATACAAATAAATATACAATACTGGCCAAAAACAATATAACCAAAGTTCAATCAATATACTCATTATAAAAAGTTAATATATGTCAGCAACAAATCAACTCTTGAATAAATATAAATGAAATGAAAGGAAGAAAATGATAATAATACTAAATAAAAGAAAAGGAAAAAGAAAAAAAAAGAGCACACTATCAATTAATCTTTGCAGTTTATATTGAAACAGAGTATTGAAACTATTATTCACTTCTAATCAACATTTCATTCTTAAATTAAAATTTGAAGATTTGAGAGTATGTTTGGAATAAGAGAAGGTAATGGTTCATATAGATACAGTGGGTCAAAAAAGCATTGGTATATTCCAATTTTTATTCAAATCTCAATAGGATTAAGATATTTTCCAGAAATAATATTTATATAATAAAGTGGTCTTTGAGTATTATATATCATTTCCAAGTCAATTTCAACCTTTGCCAAGTCAAATTCAACCTTTTCCAAATCAAATTAAACTTTTTCCAAGTCAAATTCAACCTTTTCCATTTCAAATTAAACATTTTCCATATCAAATTCAACCTTTTTTTATTTATTTAATTATCTTTAATTTTTCGATGTGTAGGTCTGTTATCGTATGAATAGTTTTTGAAAATAACCTCCATTTTAAGATTACGTGACTGAGTTTCGAATTATTTAAGTTTTTTTTATTTATTCGATATAAGGGTGTATTTTTATGTTTCCTGATCCGTAAATTATTTAAAAAAAATATATAAAATTTACAAAAAATTAAAACATTAATTTGAAATGATAACGGTTGAATTTGAATTGGAAAAGATTTAATTTGAAATGGAAATGGTTGAATTTGACTTGGAAATAATTGAATATGACATAGAAATATTACACTGAAAAAATCCAATAATGTTAAAATAAATGGATATGCAATAGTGTTATCAAATTTTCCTTTGTATTTTTCAAAAGCTATGCCTTCGATAATATAGTAAGTGGCCTTCATTTCGAAAAAAATCGAAAATTGACAAAAATTCGAAAGTTGAATTTGAAATGGAAAAGGTTGAATTTGACTTGGAAAAGGTTGAATTTGAAATGGAAAAGGTTTAATTTGACTTGGAAAAGATTGAATTTGATTTGGAAAAGGTTGAAATTGACTTGGAAATGCTGTATTTTCAAAGCAATGGATTTTCATAATTCAAAAAATATTTTTAAAATAAGTGTAAATTTTGAGTCAAAAAAGTATTGGCACAGTTTTAAATGTTTACTGTTTGCTCCAATCAAAACAAATCAATCCTTTTTCTTTCAAAAGATTGGAAACATGTATTGACAATAATACAACGACAACAATAAAATACAGTCTTTGCTGTATACTTGCCATAACAACATGTCAATATTGTGTCCGTGTAAAAAAAAACATCATTAAATTATATTCTAATGAACTTAGCTACCGACAAATACCGAATAAATTAGAAATTACTTTTATTATTGTTCTGAATATTGCACAAAAGTATAGAAAGTTTTAAATAAACTCCGTTCAGAAGGGCCACCAAAATTAAATGGGAGGGCACAAAGGTATATCCATCAAATTGTTGAGTAAAAACGCACTTTATTAGCTGCCCAGATAGCAGAAGAGGTCACATCTGCTTCAAATACCACCTTCTGTTAGAAATATAATTCATATATACAATTATTATGGCAGATTCCAAAGAAAAAAACTTTTATTACAGAGGTAAACTACAAAAAAAAGACTTGAGTTTGCCAAAAGTTAATTTAATAAAGACCTAGAATTCTAGAAATTTTTTTCACTTTTTCTGATGAAAGTAAGTTTAACATATTCTATTCTAATGGGCACAAGATCTTTTAGCGGAAACTTGACACTGAGTTTCAAACTCGACATGTGAGGCCTCTTGTAAAACATCGAGGTGGAATCGTCCTGGTTTGGAAGAGTTTGTCATGGAGTGGCGTTGGAAACTTAACCTTTATTGACAATATTATGAATGCCGAACAATATTTTGACATTTTGCGACATAATTTAATAAGTGTAGTCAAAAATCTGAGGATCAAAGATACATTTGCCTTCCAACAGGACAATGACACCAAGCACACACCAAATAAAACAAAAGAATGGATGGTGTACAATGTCCCCAGCCAATTGAAAACTCCAACACAGTCTCCGGACATAAATTCCATAGATTACCGATGGTACCTGTTAGATTTGAAAGTAAGAAAAATGAAATTTCTTTAGAAATTATTTAAAAGAAATTTCTTCAAAGAAATGGCATGAAATTGGACAAGACTTAACTCAAAATTTTGTTTTGTCGATACCAAGAAGATTCCAGGATGCTAAGGATATGATGACAAAATATTAATAAATTTCCAATTCATGAAATAAACATTAAATTAAAGTGTGCCAATACTTTTTTGACCATGTTGAACTGATTTTTCATTTGCTGACTTTTTTAATTAAGGAAATTTAATTTTTTTTACCCCAATTATGTACTTTTAAAAAATATTTTATTAAATAAAAATGTTTAGCAAATTAATTTAAGCTTTTTTATAAAAAGTTAAGTGTGCCAATACTTTTTTGATCCACTGTATGCCACTGTTAATTAAATATTCTTTCACTTAGCTGTAACAGAGGGAGTCTGCATTATAGAGAATATTATGGAGCACATAGCAGATAAAGTAGGAAAAGATCCAATAGATGTTAGGATTGCAAACATGCCAACAGAAGAAAACCCTTTTCCAGCTCTAATAGAAGAGTTTTTGAAATTGTCCGATTACAGAAAAAGAGAGAAAGACATAGAAGAATTCAACAAGGTAAAAGAACAGTGAAACTTATTCTAATGTCCTAGCTAGGCATTGCTATTATAATTATAATTTAACTATTGTGTACTTTAAATAATATTCTGACCGAAGTATATAAGTATTTCAACTATTTTCTCTAATTTATTTATATTTTGGCTTTAAAAACTCCTTTGTACTGCCAGAATATATTGTTTTCCAGAGGACAGGGGTTTATTTTATATCTGTTTTAGATTATCTACATCATGCACTGGCCCTTTTTTTAATCAAATGAAATTAAATTCGGTATTTAGGGTATAAACAGATTAATATAATGTAAGTTTCATCAATATTTTGATATGAAATTGAATTAGTGTTAAATAAATGAGTACTTATTTAATAGCGAGTAGCGTCCGACTGCTATCTGCCAATGTTTATAATCTTAACACTGATAAGCTCTTCATATTCATATTTATTGTATTATATTCATATTATTATATCTTCGTATTCATATTTATTGTATTGTATTGATATTATTGAAATTATGATGATTTCCTGTGATGAGTTCCTCTGTGTTTTTTATTCCTGCACTTAGCCGAGCCCCATAATCGTTCAATGTGTTGAGTAGGGACTCCACTTGATGGATCAACAAAATTTTACCTGTGATTCACCTGAAAATGGTTGTACTTTGCTTCATTGAGTTGTTTGGTGTTGTATCCTTTCCAACAGTCGGAATAAATGGTGCTTCTCTCTTGTAGATTGTTTTTAATGGCTTCTAATAAAGTTGTTGCTTTTCTATAGTTTATTTTGATGATAAAACACTCGTCTGTTTCTCAGCAAATTCCGCCAAACATCCATTGCTCAAGTAGGACTCTCCCTACATGACTATTGTAAATAAATTGTTAAAAGTTAATTTTAAATATTCCTTTTTGGCGGGAATTCGCGAATAGCCTTCCGCTTTTTATGTTGGGGGAACTAGGTTATTTACACTCGTGAATATTAAGATAAAACCCCGGCACTGGATATAGACTTTTTGAGGATGTTTAACTGTTGTTGGGAATTCGGGAATCTAATACCTTTTGTGACACTGAGAGACAAGAAACAATAAGAATACATATATAATGTGGGACTTAGTAAATACAATTTAACTGAATTGACTCACCTAGTTTGTTATTCTTCAATCGTGAGGCATACAGGACAACTAAATAAATAAATGACTTTTCACTTCTGTATAATAAAACAATTTATTTTACAACTGTAATAAATGAACGTATAAAAGTCTTATAACTGTAGGCTTGATTTCTTAGTCTTCAATGTAGTATCTCTCTTCTGACAACCTCCTTTCTTCCTGTCCAGGAATAGCGTCATCTCGCCTCCGTGTCCTAGCCTCAAGTGCTTGGCATCCTTCTCTCCCTCTCCCTGGCGTCTTTTCCAGCTGCTGTTACCTGACCAGACCTTTTTCCTCCTTCATCATTGTTTTCGATATGAGACTTTTCAATGAATTTGTCCACTGCACAATTGAGTACAATTCATCGTGCAACCTCATATTCCTACATATTATATATTCCTTCTCATTCCCACACCAAATGTCGTTTAAAGGAGTAAATACAGGGGGATGTCTACTACACTTTGCCAGGCATAAACAAATAACATGTCATGGGCATAAACTTCTCTTCAAAAATTTGTTCCATGTTACGATAGTTGCATTGGATAGTTTGAGCTGCTCTTTCCCCCACTGTATTGTTGTTAAATTTATGGGACCACCCATAAATGAATTTTAAAGCCGTTAAAAAAGAAATCCTCGACCCCTCTAACCACGTTCCTTTCCTTATAGAAACGGTTTTGTTGCAACTACGAAAGCATCTCCATTTAATCTTCCCGTTGAACTTCATTAGATGACCGAAGTAAGAAATGCCTTTTGGAGGTTTCAATTTTTTTCCCTACACATCTTACATTTTAATAGATTAATATTAGAAAAAAAATTAAAAAATGTTCAACTCAAAATATCTGAAAGTTATTCAGTAGTTCAAGTGATTTTGAAACTCTATTTAATTGACTCAGGTAAGTGTTAATATAATAATTAAACATCATTATTAGACTCACTTTTCATCTGTTTTCTCAGAAAAAATGAGAGAAAATTATTCTTTTAATTTATTTAGTATGCATAAGTATTGTGATGTTTTTTATTGTTTTCTTAATACACTATTTTAAAAATTCAATGAAAAGAGTTGTCCTTCTGTATAATTTTTTAACTGTATATTATATAAGAATAATATTGTAAAATTATACAGTAGGACAATATCAGTTTTTATTGATTTAGATTTCCGTGCTGTGACGTCAAGTTTCAATGTAAGAACTATATTTTATACCTAAATTTCAAGATTTTAATGAACGTAGAAAAAATTTGTATTACTATTTTTCTAGGAATGCTGTTACATTTCTTAAGTGTTAAAAAAATCATCTAAAGCTGTTTTAAACATTTATTCTAATGAAAATTGAAAATAAATTTATTTTAATTTACCATTATTGTAATAAAAAAAATTATTGTAATCTTAATTTTAATATCATATTTAATAATTCAATATTAATAACATTTTTCCTCGAATCATGCTCCATTTTTTTCTATCCAACCCTAATCCTAATAATTTTTGTTTTTGTTCCAAAGCCAGGACTTGAAGTTTGATTCACTATAAAAATGGTCCTATTTCAGTTTAAATCTTTTTAAATTAATATTAAAATAATCAATAATTTTCAGTTACCAATGTCGAATATTGATTTTGAAATTATAATTGGAATAGAAAATTTGTCAATGATAATTTGGGTCCAATTTGAAAATGAATGACTCTCATCATTCATTTTCTTTTTTTATAAACTATTAAAAGAACTGAAAATAATAATAATTTAACTAAAAAAAATTATATTTTTAAAACATAATTAATTAGTATGTTATAATTAGCCCAATCACCTCATAGACCATCTTTTAAATAGGATTCGTGATATCAGCTATCATGTTTTCTCTTCTGGCAGTCATTAGTAGTCATTAGTAAGGGTTTTTTGTTAGCCAGAAATATATTTTCATCATCTCTGAAAAACTGGAGAATATTTAAAATGAAAAATATTCGTATGTTCGATGGACTAGTGATCATGATGTAAATAAATTAATCATTACTTCATCAAATTAATTAACTCCTTAGTAAGAGCTTCAGGACTGTCAGAAATGCATTTCTGTGCTTAAATTATGATTATTACTTAAAAGTTAATGTTATAGATAGTTAATTCTCAATTAAAACCTACAAAAATCACTACCATCTATCCTATTATGTAAAAAGACAACCCATATTTGGTTTGCAATGCTAACCGCAAAAACTATTGGACCAGTTTGCACAGGTTTTTTGAAAAAAGTTCATGTTATCTCAAGGTGGTTTTGAGCTATTGAAATTTTTTATTTGACCTATAGAAAGAAACTAAATAAATATTTTCAAGTATATTTAGAGAATTTTGTAAGTCAATTATGCTTAATTTTTACATTGTTAAATTGTCAGAATCACACTTTTCTATCATTAAAAATACTACCAAAAAGACAAAATATTGATCATCTCATAAATGCAGCCGAGATAAAATGAAGTGGAAGCAGGAAAATTATTATAAAATGAGAGATTTCTTATGCTCAATATCACTAACTTTTCTTTAAATAATTTAAAACTGAATATGTTCATAAAAAAACTTTATAAAGTCATCAAACTGAAGATGCTTCCTGTCGAGTCAGTTTTTTATTTAGCAGTTGATCCTTTTGTTTTTCATTATAAATTTAGGATGCACTTGATCCTGTATTCGTGGTATGTTTCAAATAGCAATGTATTTGGTTTATAAATTCTTATTGTTATATTATTAAACGTGGGTGAAACCTATTATGTACATATAAGACATACTGGAAACCTACATTATTGTAGTACATATACCACATCTGAAACGGATATAAAATTCATCCTCTGCCTCTCCAATAACTTTCAATATACAGTCCCAAAGTTTATTATTTTACAGGAAAAATATGACTGAAAAATAAGAAGTTTAAAATTTATTTATTCTATTGAATACCACAGTCCTTATACCTAGTACTCCGATCCTATCTTTCTGACCGCTCCTTCCGAGTTCGCTATGGCACCGAATTCTCAGACTGTTACTCAATTGAGGCTGGCGTTCCTCAAGGCAGCGTCTTGGGCCCCATCCTTTACATTCTCTTTACCGCTGATATTCCTGTCCATCCCGATACCCTCCTGGCAACTTTCGCTGATGACACTGCTATCCTTTCTTCCAACTCAGATCCTGAAACAGCGTCCGCAAACTTACAAAGGCACCTCTTCCTGATTGAACACTGGTGTAAGAAATGGCGCATCAAGGTAAACGAATCTAAATGTAAACACATTACCTTCACCCTTCGGCGTAATACCTGCTCACCAGTTCATTTTAACTTCATCCAGCTTCCTTTCTCAGATACAGTCCGGTATCTTGGCTTTCTCTTAGACAGACGACTAACATGGAATCCACATACTAGACTTAAAAGACAGGAACTTAACAGACGATATGGCCAGCTATATAGACTACTGAATAGAAAATCTAAACTTTCTGGTGAAAACAAATTACTGATCTACAAGACAATAATGAAACCCATCTGGACTTACGGACTAGAACTATGGGGAACAGCTAAATTTTCTAACATCAAACACATCCAATCCTTTCAGTCTAAAGTCCTCCGTACAATAGTCAATGCTCCCTTCTATGTAACCAATAAAATCCTGCATAATGACCTTAATATCCCATTTATTCTTGATCTTATCCCAGCCAAATTTTCCAAATTTCACCAGAACCTTTCTCATCACCCAAATCCCGTTGTACAATCCCTATCAAGCACCACCCATCCCTACAATCCCCTTCGTAGGTTAAAGCGGCAGTGGCCACGAGACCTTTTGTAAATATGGATATTTTGGAGTTCTAGCAATGGCAAGATTCTCCTCTCAAGTCATGAGTGTCTGTGGCTGTAGCGCTCCTACCTCCCTTTTCCCTCCACATGTGGAGGGGACAGGATTGGTTCGGAGATCACCTGGCAAATTGTAAATAATGTATATAGGTATGTTTTGTATAAGATGTTTGTTTTACTTTTATTTCTATTTTTATTTACTTATGTGTATGTATATATATATTTTTTTTCTCTCTCTTTTGTTCTTTTTTCTTATTCTTTTGTTATTGCTTTATTTATTTATATTTTTGTATATACGGTATGAATGTACTCTCTGAACTCTATCATAAGTGTCCTTAACTGTGACAAATTGTAATATTTCTGAATAAAGTGTTTAATAATAAAAAAATAAAAAAAAATTCTATTGAGTGGACATTTTTAGCTCTATAATTTCAGCAAAAATGGAAGTGCTGACTGTTTCTATTGTGTTGTATTATTTTCTACTTATGTATGTTTAGGACACCATGTATAAATAATTTAAAAAAAAAACATACAAAGAAGATTTGACTGTAGTTTAGAAAATATTTCAAAAATGCAAATCAGGCAGTAATATTAAATGACTACTAAATAACTTTTGCTCGCAATTTTTTTTTTAAGGTTAATAGATGGAAGAAACGTGGAATCGCTTTGGTACCTATGACATATCCCCTTGAATATTTTGGTAACTTCCATGGAATTGTTTCAATTTTTGCATCTGATGGTACAGTGTCCATAACTCACGCAGCTATAGAAATGGGACAAGGGATCAACACAAAGGTTCAATTAATTATTTTTTTAAATTTATATGATGTACTTTTCGGTTATTTATTTCACTACTTATAATAGTCAAATCTTTTAGGTTGTTCAAGTGGCTGCTCACGTCCTTGGTATAGATACATGGTATATTAGAGTTAAACCAACAAATACCAACCTAACACCCAATGCTTTTTCAACTGGTGGCAATGTAGGATGTGAAAGTGTTTGTTTCGTTAGTGCATTTGCTTAATCTTGTTTTTGTCTTAATAAATGTTCAACTAAACACGGTTCACTTCTGTATTAGAAGAATAAAAAAGTTAATAAAATATAATTTTAGGCTGTAAAAATGGCTTGTGATGAACTGAATAAAAGATTACAGCCAGTGAAGGTGGAACTTGGTAACAGAGCGTCTTGGGTAGATATCTGTCGTAAAGCTTTAACTTTAGATATCAACTTAACTGCATCACATATGTTAGTATTTGTAATAACTTCATTATCTTTATTTTAAGAAAATATTTTTATACATTATATATTTTAATTTTATGTAGTCAAGGTTTTCAAAAATCTTTTGTTTTAGGGCAACTTCAGCTGATTTGAAACCCTATGATATTAATGGAATTACTGCACTTGAAGTAGAAGTGGATATATTAACAGGTCAACATCAAGTAAGCATCTTAAAGAAACATAAATAAACATAGATTTACTTCATACAGTACGAAATGGTACATTTCAAACAAAACTGCTATGATGCAGGTCAAACTACAAATACATGCATTTCAGTTTAATCATAGAATGGACTTGGATATATCTCAGTTCTTAACAACTGATATGTGTGGATCCCCATATGAAGATGATTCTGTAATGGTCAGATCATAATCATCCTTTGCCAAAAAAAAAGAAGAGAAAAAGATAATATCAGACAATTTTCCATGATTTAATGGATGACATTTTTTAATTAGTTCAAAATAAATCAGCATGATTTTTTGCAGGTTAAAATAAATTTTAAAAAAAAACCTGAACCACTACAACCCATGAAGGGTCTTGGGTTCAGCACTTTGTAAGGAAGTACTATTTCTTGGTCAACGTTTGTGCAAGGAGATTATTTAACCAAGATCACGCTCAACTGCCATGTTTTCCCACTTAACTAATTGTTTAATTCATGGTACCCACTTCATAAAGGCTGGGTGTGCCCCCAGGAGGGTCGTGAGGAACACTACATGTTAGTAGGTGTGGAAAGGAAGGTGTATCATCAATATATTATGCAAACTAATATTATTAAATACGTGAAGAAATGCTGTGGGAGTGGAGACCCAAGAAGCCTGGAAATCCATAACTAAATTGCAGCAACATAAGGCATAGATTCCTGGTGATTGCTCATTGAGAACACCTAGACACTTTACCGTGTCGTAGTGTCTTCATAGAAGAGAAGCCTCCAACCAGACTAAATCGATCTACATTTCTCTCTCCACTAATGATTTAGTCTTTCGAATCAAATATACGAAGTATAGAAATACAATATTCACTTTAGAAATTAAAAATGTGTTATTTTTATAAAATTCAGTGTCAAGAATTACAACTGGAACTAAGTAAGGAGTTCTCCAAGTTTACACCTAATACAAAAAAATTAAAGTTTCTTTTAAAAATATATTGCCTCCTTTTTCTGTATAGATAAGTACTGAATTTGTTTTTCTCAAAGGAATTGGTGTTTTTGCCATCATTATATTGAAATCAATGGTAATAATTTTTTTTCATTTTAGACATTAAGAGTGGATTTGCTAGAGGAAGCTGGGATTTCGATAAGCCCTGACATAGATATTGGGCAGATAGAAGGGGCATTCGTTATGGGCATGGGTTATTATACCTGTGAAGAATTGAAATATTCAAAAGTAGGAAAACTTCTTACCAACAGGTCTTGGGTAATAATTTAGTATTTATTAATAGCATTATCGCTTGAATAAGATAAAACTAAACATAGCAATGTTTTTTCTAGCATTATGTACCTCCAGGTGCTAAGGACATACCAATTGACTTCAGAATCACATTGAAAAAAAATTCAGCCAATCCCCTTGGTGTTTTTAAATCTAGAGGTTATTATTTAGCATAGCTAATATCCTTAATTTGGAATAATATTTGGTTTTAAAAGAATTTTATAATACATGTATATATAATTCACTATTTTCTTATTTCTGAAGCACGGAAAAAAGCTGCCACCCCTGCTCCCGAAACGGAAGAACCTCTTATTAAGGAGACCACAAGTACCCAATTTTTACGTAAGTACCACAAAATTCTAGAGGCATTGAAAGTACCGATTCCAAACCATAGAATGATATTAAAAATGACATGTTGAGAAAAGAAAGTACAATAAATAATTGTCTTCTCCTTGATGGGCACTACAACTCATCACTGATTCTTGGCCCCTCAATTAGTCTCACCCACTGATGTCTCTATCTTGCAGCTCCCACATGTTGAATCAGCGTCTTGTACAGAGTGCTTTTGTTTTCCTGGAGATTAAGCGATTACATAAATACCACCGCAAGCCAAAATAACATTTATTTGTCAGGATCCTCTTAGATATTTCTTCTGACACATCATTGTCGGCATTTACTTGAGAGCCCAGATAAAGAGATCGTTGGACTGTTTAGATTATGTAGTCACCAATCAAGATCTGTGGATGTGGTGCATTTATGCCAGCAACCATATACTTGGTTTTGCTCTCATTTATAGACAGTCCCATCTTTTGCGCAGACTGTTCGAGAGGCAGATAAGTCTCCTTTAGGCCGCAAAGTGATCTCCCAATGATTTCAATATTGTGTGCATATGACAGGATTTGTATTGACAGGAGGCAGACCAATGACTCTCCCTGCCTTATCCCTTTTCTTGTACAAACAAAGTACAAAAATTTGAAAGTAAGTAATATATTTGAGAATTACTTTAACACATGTTTTAGTTCTTGTATCATCTTCATTTGTTATTTTATGAAGATTTTTTTTTTTGTGGTTGAGCTCCATCCTTCTAGATGCTTCATCAAATCTAATGGTTGAGCCATAATGTTAAGGTTATCTTCTCTCCCAGTGCCAAAAAATTAGCCCATCTCACACAAAAATAATGAAAAGAAAAAGAAAAATTTATTTTTACTTAACTCAAAAAGAATACAATTTATGTTGCATGATGACAATAAAATAAATTACAAAATATACAATAATGAACCATTGTAATTTAACAATAAAAAAATAAAATAAAATTCCTTTTCCTAAAAATTGACTGTATTTACTTATTTCTGTATTATACTACTATTATGCGAGTTAATCACATTTTTTTTCCGGAAGCTGAAAATCTTTAGCAACATCATCCTTCACAACCTGGCAATTTCTGCTAATGCCTAATTACTGCAATGCAGCTTCTCTGTCAACATTTTACAATCAATTTCTTATCCATTGTCTATCTAAAGGTGCATTTACACGAGACAATGTTTATTGAACAATTTTAATTAATCAACAAAAATTTAATGAAAACTACTGTTACTGATACTTGATCTACTAGAATAAATTAGAAATATAACAAGAATTTGCAGATAGTGGAATAATAATTTGACAGACCAGGACCTCAGCTAAAATACCAGTGAAATAAAGTTTCACCCATATATTTTTTTCCTTAACAGATGAAAGCCATTCTGCTTCATTAAGGTATAAAAAGCCTCTGGCCAAGATAGGATACAACTGTTCTTAAAATAGCCTAAAAGAAGTAAAGCTTACAAGACAAACCTCTACAACTGCTGCCTTAGGTTCAGATACTCTCTGTTGTATGAAAATGAACTATCGATTTCCTCCAATTGAAACAGATGAAGAATATATCCCAACTGACTACAGACCAATCATCTTTCTTCCGCTCATGAGCAAGATGATTGAGAAAATCATTTTTAATTATCTCAAGTCCTGTTGCTCAGAAATAGTTCTAATCCCATCTGAACTTACCAGGCCCGCCTTTGTCTGGATTACCATCTGGCAAAGCTGTGAACCAGAGTTAGTCAGACCTCAGTTAAGAAATAGGCAACCTCTGTAATCACTATAAGTTGTATGGAGAAGTTTGATTCTTTTTTCTATGGATTCCTATGTAAGAAAAAGTATCCAGAGTAGTTATACATGGTCTTATGTGTTACGTTTTGAAAATACAAGTTTTTCCCTGGCCAGGTGAGAGGGCGGAAGATTAGTGCGAGAATTATGTGCCCCAACACCAGGACTCGAACTTGTAATCTTCAGTTTATCAGGTTGTTAGGCAACGTGGCAGTTGCAGACGCGTTAGCCCGCTCGACCGCCTCTATCATTTCTACTGCTTTTTTTCTCCTTTCCTTGCCTTTTCGGCTATATGTTTTTTTCCGGGACAGGAGAGAGGACGAGGGATTAATGCCACAGTTGAAAGCTCCCCGACACCGGGATTCGAACTTGTAATCTTCGGTATATCAGGTTGATGGGCGTATTTTCCAAACGCGTTGGCCCGCTCGCTAACCCCACCCATTATTGTTTTTAATAAATCCTATATGCCTAAATGCAATATATAATATATGCCTAGATGAAAAAATTACAATTTCAGGTAAGTATTAGGTCGTTTTAAGACCTTATTGATGACAAAAAGGTGTTGTGTCACACAAAATAGTATAAACTAAAAGAGTACAATATTTTAATAGATGATTTCTTTTACAGTTTAGGTGAGTTTACGAACCCACAATAAGACACCGTTCTTTACAAATTCTACTATATCTACTAGTAGACAGATACTATCCTTTGGAATTGCAATTTACACGATCGATATGTTCATACTATAGCAATTTTTTTTTGGAAAGGGGGGGGGAGAGGTTGAAATTCCATTGTGGCATTATTGGGAGAGCTCAAGTTCCACAACCCTAATGTGCACTACCACAAACACTAAAAGAGAAAGAAAAAAAAAGAAATATATCAAATTGTTTCGTTTACATATTTTCAAGTATATCCTAGGTAAAAAAATATATATGATATAAAGTTATATGTACATTTATTTTTATATATAGTATTATATTGTTCGTTTTATAATAATTATGTTGATTATATTAATTATCCCTCATAATTTGTATACGTAATATAAACTCCATAGACTTTTTTTGAGGAGTCCATCGCCCCTCCCCTCTCTAACCAAAATGGAAAGTTTGCGCCTAGGCTAATTACATAATTATATAAGTGGATATATATATATATATATATATATATATATATATATATAATATATTTATTGTGGAACAAATTATAATGCCACATAGCTTGATCGGGTGGTCGAAAGTGTGTTCAAATTTAAATTATTTTCTTCAATGTGCGATTAAAAAACTTTTGCGTTTCGCAAGTTCTATAACATTTTATATTTAAGACTGGATAATAATCAAAAAACAAATTTCTTATAAATACAGCGTTTTATTTTAGAAATTAATCTCGAATAAACTATAACCTTATTTATAAAGTTAGAGCATAAGCCAACCATTTTTTTTTTTTAAGTCAAATTCATGTTCACGTCTCTTAGCCCTGTTAGCACATAAATTATCAATTTGAATACATAATTCTAGGCATATCCAAATGTAAAACAACCGAACGGGAAATAAGTTGTTACGATTTCAATAAATGTTGGTAGTTTTAAATATGATTTTTTTTTCAGTTCATATTACATTAATGTGATAATTTGGTATTCAATTTAATATCTCCTTTGAAATTTAATAATTTTTGGTTTCTAGCCACTAGTGATCCTTCTCTCTGTATGAGCTGTGCCATTTTATTTGCTATTCGAAATGCCCTTAAATCAGCAAGAAAAGATGCTGGTGCAGAGGAAACTTGGTTTAAAATAGGTTTGAGTTTTGTCTTATTTTTATAATTTTTTTTTTTTACTGACAACATTCAAATATCCAGAATGTTACTTTCGTAATACTTATAACAATTGTTTTCCAGAACCTCCCTACACTGTTGAAAAAATCTGGCTTGGAGCACTAAATACAACGGAGATGTTCAAAATTTAATTTTGTATCTACTGTGGATATATTAAAGAAAATATATGCAAATAAAAGAATAAAATTGTTTTTGTGTTAATCCATAAAAAATAGTTCCAGTAACCAAACCATATTCCGTTATTTTACCTTAATATTTGTCTATAGGTATTCCCTTTATACCTTTAATTACTGATAAACATCACACAAACTTATACTAAAGGCTGTTTAACTTTTTAATCTACATTGTTTTCAGAAATATATACAATATTACAAACTTCAAACTGTTTATTCGCAGTCACACTACGTTTTGGACTAATTCATTTATATTCAAGTCTGAATCAAAACAAATATAATATTGTCATAACAATTATTTCTCAATTACTACTATATCATACAAATACTATACTTGTGCGAGAAGTCTCGTATTAAATATCAATCCTCCTTATTTATACACTAAATGAAAAAAACAACATAAAGAAAATATGTTTACTTATATTAAGAATATATTATTATCGAGAAAGTCCATTCAGCAAACACAATTGGTGAAGCTCCATACTTTACAATGATTATGAGGAAGCAACAATTTACTTAATAACAAATAACCTTACTCTATTCGGAAAATACATTTCAAGTAAAGCAACGAGACAGAGCCACACAAAACTAATATTAACCCAGTATTGTATTCGTTATAACCTATTGAGTTGATGCTACTAGCGGATCCAGGATTTAATTTTGGAGGGGACTTCAGCCCGAAAGATATTTTTTTCATAAATAAACTTAATTACTTTGGGGAAAAAAAGAAAGATACTAACTACCTATGTGAAATAAAGCTCCTCAAATGGACTATATGAGAACTAGAGTCACAGTGGCCCTAAATGGACTCAGTCTCGGAGGTCACAGATTTCCAGCTACAACGACTATATACAAAGAAATAGTTTTGGGTATTCTGAGATATGCGTCCCCAGCCTGAAACCTAAACCTCTCGCACCGACAGAAGAGTAGGCTAGCATCAATTCAGAGATTGGCTTTACTTCGGGTCACTAGAGCCTATAGAACGATATCTCATGAGGCAGTGTAAGTACTGGCAGGGGGACACCTCTCGATCTCCTCCTGCGAGAAGACTATTGCCTCTTTAAAATGAAATGAAAAGGTTCGGCGGATCTACCGGAACATCTAAAGATGAGAATTGAAGAAGATCCAAGAAGATGGAAAATAATTATCAGGGAGGACACAGTTGATGAATGGAACCGGCGATGGATGGCAACTCAGAAGGGAGCTACCCTAAGAAAGTACTTCCCCACGCTCAAGTCACGATTTGATGCAAGATGGGTCCTGCCGGATTACTGGGTGTGTCAACTCTTCACTGGAGGCTTTCGAACGAAGCTCGTTAAACACGGGAAGAATATTGATCCTCTATGCCCCAACTGTAAAGTTCCGGAGACCGCCGAACATGTGATCGTTGAATGTACTGCCTATGAGGCACTAAGAGCTAAGTTCCTGAGAGAGACGGGAATATATAGAGAGCATGTTCCCCCAGCTAATGAGCAGAGAGAATTACCCGCATTAAAGGGAATTCGTATAAGGGTGGAAAGATGCGGTAGGTCCTACACATTTTAATCTGGGAAGAAGAGAAGGAAGTTTAGACAAGCTGCAGCTGCTTCGAGGAATGGCTTCAGATGAAAGAATGGAGAAAAGAAAAGAAAAAGTTAGGTTTGTGGGCTTGTGCACACAAACAAGTCTACACCTCATAAATAATAATGTTAACAAAATTTTAATAAATATACCTATACTGCCAGCAGTGGCATGCGTATACTGCTGCTACAGCCCATATTGCCTATAAGGCAAGGCAGGGAGAAAAAAAAACCATAAACATGGTTACATTTTTAATCCGTAGATCCGTCTGTGGTTGGTACAAAAGATAAAAATTCTTGGTTTATCATTATATCTCTTATTAAGAGTGGAGCGTAGAATCCTGACCTGGATTATTAGAACTTCAGTAAGATTATGGCGATGTTAACAAACGAAATTGAAATATGTCCACAAAACTTGTGTTTTTTAATTTAAAATACCAAAAACTTTCTTTCTGCGTCATCAAATCAAATCACATATTTCAACCTTTTAACTCGATTTTCAGAGGAAAAAACTTGAAACGAGAAAAACGGCGATGGTGAGAGAAAAAAATGTAGGCCTCAAAAACACACTTCTCTTGCACCAATTCAATTTACTTACAAAATTTCAATTTTTTAACTTTATTTGAGAGGCTACAGAGATATTCATAACTTCAAAATGATGTTTTTTCTCTCATTTCATAAATCCTTAGCTAATTATAGTTATTATAACACCCTGGAGGGAAGGCAAAATGGGTGACAGAATTCGAAGGACCACAAATTCGTGCAAAATTTTGTATAATAATAAGAATAACCTGAGGTTAAGTAAAAAATATTCATTTCTGCTTTGGAGTGTTTTATTGAAGCCTTAGGTCATTTATTCATAAATCTATTCAATATAATGTGTTGATATTATGAGGTGGTTTTTATTTTTTATTGTAGTATCTAAAATACTGTTATAAAATTGTATGTCTTCAAAGAAGGAAGATGAACGTAAGCAAAAACACCTTCCTCCCCGTCTCAGCAAAAACCTTATTTCCGGCTTTGAATCCAATCCTTTGTATTATGAAATCACGGGCGGATCTACGGAGAGGGCTTTCGGGCTGAAGCCCCCCCCCCAAAAAAAATGGAAAAATATAACCATGTTTTATGAGAAAAAAAATTTTTAAAAATACCTCTTAAAGTATTATTGTTCGTGTAATTACATTTAAAAGTACTTAAGGAATAACTTAAACACCATTTCATATAGGTAGTTAGGTTCTTTCTGTTTTTCCAAAGTAATTATCGTTATTTTTAAAAAAAAAAAAAGGTTTCGGGCTGAAGCCCCCCCCCCAAAATTAAATCCTGAATCCGCTAGTGTATGAAATGATATGTATTTAACTACTTTAATAAACTTTGGATACTTTATTATGCTATATGGTATATCATATGGAGAAATCAACATGTTTTTCTAAAATATTCCATTTCAGTAAAGTCCATCGTTAAGGTGCGTTTAGACATTTCACCAACTATGGAAAACAAAATAATCTAACTTAACAATCGGCGACATTATTCCTAAACCAAACTGTTTATTTTACTTCTCTTGATACCGACATCAGATGCAAAATATAAGAAACAAAAATACAAGCATAGTGAAATAACCATTTAGATATTTGTTTGTACCACAGGCGGATCTACGCCGAGAGGGGGGCTTTCGGGCTGAAGCACTCCCCCCCCCCAAAAATGTCAAAATATAATCATGTTTTATAGAAAAATATATTAAAAAATTATCTCTTAAAATATTATTGTTCGTGTAATTACATTTGAAAGGACTTGATGAATCACTTAAACACCATTTCATGCAGTTACTTAGTTTGTTTCTTTTTGTTCAAAGTAATTATCGTCATTTTTATGAAAAAAAAAGTTTCCCGGCTGAAGCCTCCCCAAAATTAAATCCTGGATCCGCTAGTGGTTTGTACCATAATTAGTGAAATGTCTAAACGCACCTTTATCATGTCTATGGTATTAATATTGTAATAAATCAATTATCCTCTGACCTAATGAATTATATTTATTTATAGTTATTCACAACAGTACTGGTGTCAGTAACTATGTTTTAAATAGATGTATTTTTTTCTCAGTGGTTATTTCGGTAGCGAAAATTTCCATCGCAATAATGTATTCTAAAAAAAGCAGGATGTGTTTAATTAGTAGAAACTAAACATTTACACCATTTATGTTATTCAAGCCTTATGAAAAAATCAATAAAAACTCGTAAAAGAGAAACATGATTTATGAGATACAATTTCTTCATTAATTTAAGTGAGTAGCCTTTTATTTATTGTTTTTTATTATTTATTTTTTTTGTGAAGTAACACTGCAACGACAGTTGGCCTATTTAATTTAAATGGCACTGGTCAAAGTGGAGGGGCGTGCCTCCAGCATCACCTGTGCCAAGTTGACACGCTTGGAATATAAAAGGAAAACTTACGTGTAATGTAATTATTTGTCTATCAAAATGGTTGATCTCGGCGGAGGACCTGATGGTCCTATAGAACACGGTTTTAGCAACACAGTATTTATTATTCCGGGTCTTATCATTTTTGGACTTTCAGGTATTACAAATTACAAATGACAACATTGTTTACAATGTTTTTCTTTATTTTATTTATTGTATCGTTCTATATATACTATCGGGATTGTCATGGAGTATTGATATTTAATCGACTCATAATTACATCACTTAAAAAGTCTTGAGGATTTTTAATTAATTAAAAAAAAAAATGTTGAGTTACATTGATGACAGCTATTTTTCTCATGAATGATAATTATTACTGGCTTGTAGTTTTGTATTATTTCTTAAAAATGGTGTTCAAAATATTCTTTAACATTTTAATTCTCTTTCAATCTCCATTTATCTCTAAATTTAAATTCATTATCTTCAAGATAAAAGAGCGAAAACTTGAAATTCATTGGTTCCTTAGTTTTGATAGCCTTTTACTCTTTATTATGTTATCAAAGCTAATTATTATATTTTTCCAATTATGGGTGTTCATAGTATCTTTATTTTATTGGCGTTTATTTGCTTATCAACCAATTTTTGCGTTGTCAACAAGTTCTACAATCCATGAAAGGTCTTATGTTCCTCACGTGGTTTTAAATCTAGATTTGTAGACAAACATTTATGGAAGGAGAATATTACAATGCCATTACGCTACTAAAATAGTGTCGAGATCACAGTATCAAAAGATGATTATTTATTTAATAACTTTTTTTTATTATACTCAATCTTACTGCTTTTGTTAGTGATATGAATTATTATTCTTGATAAAATTTTATTGTTGAAAACTGCTACTTTTAAAACAACGCTGGTTCTTTATGTATAAAACTGATTGTTTCCTCATATATTTGTAACATACATCAGAGAGAATATTATTTTTAGGTCTTTTTTATTTTTGTCTGAGTTTAAGGATTTCTGTTAACAGGTGGTTGAGAAAAATAAGTTTTTAAAAATTA